TCTTTTGTATCCTTTGCTAGGCTGATACCTAAGTATTTCATTTTTGTGGATGGCCTCGTGAAAGGTGTAATTTCCCGAATTTCTCTCTCAGTGAGTTTGTTGTTTGTGTATAGAAATGCTATTGACTTTTGAGTGTTGGCTTTGTATCCAGCTATGCTGATGAAATTTCATCAGCTATGCTGATGAAATTAACTCTAGCAGTCTTTTAGTAGAGTTTTGGGGGACTTTTATGTCGAGTATCATGTCATCTGTAGAAAATGATAATTTAACTTCTTCCTTTCCCATCCTTATTCTTTTTATTTTTCTATTTGTCTAATTGCCCTGGCTAATGTTTCCAGAACTATATTGAATAGGAGTGGTGATAGTGGACATCCTTGTCTTGTCCCTGATTTTAGAGTGAAAGCTTTCAGTTTTTGTCCATTTACTATGATGTTGGCTATTGGTTTGTCACATATGGTTTTTTCAGATTGAGGTAAAGACCATTTATTCCAATTTTCTGTAATTTTTTTTATCATGAACAAGTGCTGGACTTTATCAAAAGCTTTTCTTATATCTATGAAATTATCACATGATTTTTGTCTTTGACTCTATTGATCTGATGTGTTACATTTATTGATTTGTGCATGTTGAACCATCACTGCATTCCTTGAATGAAACTGACTTGGTCATAATTTATAATCTTCTTGATGATTTGCTGCATTCTGTTTGCTAGTATCTTACTGATAATTTTGGCATCAATGTTCATTATGGAGATTGGCCTGTAGTTCTCTTTTATTGTTCGTGTCTTTCTCTCTGTTTTTGGTATCAGAGTAATAGTTGCTTCCAGGAATGGGTTAGGGAGAATTGCTTCTCTTTCAATTTCATTAAAGAGTTTGAGGAATATTGATACTAAATTTTTTCTAAAGTTCTTGGAGAATTCAGCTGTGAATCCATCAGGACCTCAGCTTTTCTTTGTTGATAAGGTTTTAATTATATTTTCAATGTCATTAACTGATATTGGGTTATTCAAAATCTTTATATCTTCTTGATCTAGCTTTGATCATTCATACATTTCTATTCATTTTCTATTTCTATTTCTATTCATTTCTTCTGTTTTCCTGCCTATGTGAGCAAAGATTTTCAAAGTGGATATTGATGATCTGAATTTCCACAGGATCTGCAGTGATTTCACCCCCCCCCCATTCCATGAATTTGAGGGGGTTTTTTCTTTTCTTGATAAAGTTGGTTAGGGGCTTATAAATTTTGTTTATTCTTTGAAAGAACCAACTCTTTGATTCATTAATTCTTTGTATTGTTTTATTAGGCTCAATTACATTAATTTTGGCTCTGAGCTTTATAATTTCCTCTCTTCTTTTGGCTTTGAGCTGGACTTGCTCTTCTTTTTCTTAGAGGCTTAAAGTGTAGTACTAGGTTGTTTATTTGTGCTCAGTCTGTTTTCATGATGTGAGAGTTCACTGCTATTTCTTTCCCTCTTAGGACTGCTTTTCTTGCATCCCATAGGTTCTGGTATGTTGTATCTGTGTTTTCATTTGATTGTAGATATTGTTTAGTTTCTTCTTAAATGTCATCAGTGACCCATTGGTTGTTTAAGAGGATGTGATTTAATTTCCATGTGTTTATGTAGTTTTTGCAGTTTCTTTTGCTATTATTTCCAATTTCAGTATACTGTGCTTGGAGAATATTCATGGGATAATTTCAATTCCTTTGCATTTACTTAAACAAGTCCTGTGGGCTAGTATATGGTGTATTTTAGAGAAAGTCCCATATGCAGCTGAGAAGAATGTGTATTCTGATGTTGTTGGGTGGAATACGCTGTAAATGTCTATTAAGTCCATTTGTTCACATGTTTGATTCAGTTTTGTGATTTGCTGATTTTTTGGTCTGGTTGATTTATCTCCTTGTGACAAGGAGGTATTAAGGTGCCCTGTTAAAATTATGTTATGTATTGATTTTTAATGCTTTTTATTATTTGTCTTATATAATTGGGTACTCCCACATTTGGTGTGCATATATTTATGAATGTTGTCTCTTTCTCTTGAATTTTCCCCTAACAAGTATGAAATGATCTTATTTATCTCTTTTGATCTTTTTTTTTGAAGTTCACATTGTCTGCAAGTAGAATAGCTACCCCTGGTTTTTCCTGGGCACCTGTTGCATGAAATATTGTTTTTCATCCTTTGACTTTCAGAGTATGAGTTTTTTTTTTTTTTTTTTTTTAGTTAAATGTGTTTCTCATAAGAAGCGTATTGTTGGGTCTTGTTTCTTGATCCATTCTGCCAATCTATTTCTTTTAATTGGTGAATTGAGGTCAGCTACACTGATGGCTATAACTGATATGTATGGGCTTGTCTTTGTCATGTTATCCCTACTTTTCCCCTGTTTAATTGCTTGCCATGTCTCATGGGTTTTTTTCTGTTGTTGTTCTTGGAATTGTGGTCATTTTTATATCTGTCTAGAATCTCTTTCAGTACTCTTTCTATGATTTGTTTGGTGGGCAACTTCAATTGTTCTTTGTCATGGAAGTATCTTATTTCTCCATGAATTTTGAAAGATAGTTTTTTAGGGTACATCTGGGTTGGAACTTGTTTTTTTTTTCAGAGCTTGAAATACTTTATTCCAAGCTCTTTTTCACTTGAAAGTTTATGTTGAGAGATTGACCACAATTCTAATGGACTTCCCTTTGTAGTTGTTCTGTTTCTTTTCACTGGTAGCTTTTAATATTCTGTTCTTGTGCTGAATTTCTGGGATCTTGATTATTATATGTCTGAATAGAGATTTACTTTGGTAATGGTTGTTTAGAGTTCTATATGCCTCTCTTCTCTGTATGTCAAATTCTCTTTCCATGCTTGGAAAATTGTCGGCTATTACTTCCACAAATAGTTTTTTTTAAATCATTTGTGTCGACTCCTTCTTGTTTATTGACATCTATCAGTCATATATTGTTTTTTATTTTGCATTGAGTTGGAGCTGTTGAATTGTTATTTTTAAGAGCTATTTCCTTTCATGATTACTAACTAAAATCCTGTCTTCAAGGTCTATCTTCAGTTTCAGTCAAGCAGTTTTGCCATCTTTCAATGGAATTTTTAATTTCCTGACTGTCTCTTTGAATCTCATACATCTGTCTGTTTCTTTCTTATATTGTTCATTCATGGTTTCCTATGCTCCTATATTTTTTATGTATGTCTTTTCTAGCTATACTGAGCAATTCATTTATTATGATTGTCATTTGCTTTTTTTTTTACCTGAGAGATCATTTCTGATCTGATTTGCTCTATAGCCTTATGGATTTCTTTCTTTACTGTGGTTACTACCTTTTCAGAAATTTCAGGTGTGTATCTTCCAATTTCTTCAATGTTGATGTCTCCTGTACTTGTTCTGGATGGACTGGAGGTTTGAGATTGCATTTTGCTTTTTCTTCTTGTCACTGTCTATTTCAGGAAAATTTAAATTTTATTTTCTGTGATGATCCTTGTGATTTTTTTAGTAGGTAGCTATATCATTAGTATCAAGGCCTCCCTAGGAATAGCCTATTCTTCGAGAATGTCTTCTTTATGTAGGCAGTTATTAGCTTGGGTCTGTCTCAGGATCCTAGCTTCCCAAATAACTGATAGTGGATGTTAATATCTGTTTGTCTCCATCCACAGTCCTTTGATGTTGGACTGTGGTGAGGTTTTTTATCCAGAGCTTTCCAGTATTGTTACAGAAGTGAGAACAATTGATTAAAACAGATATGACATCTTAGCTAAAATAGTACAATTAAGCAATAATAGCATTAAGCACAATTTACAAAATGACAAATTTTGGTAATTATTGATATTATTTTAGAGCATAGAACCAAAGTCTATTGTTATATAACAGGACCCAATCATAAATTAGGAGTTTGTATGTAAAATATTTCCCCTTGGTAGCATGGTTTTGCTTTGTAGTGGGAAAATTTAGGGAAGATATTGTATAAAACAAAGATAACTGGAAAGGAGACAGAAGCAATGTTGGAGGACAAAGGATGACCATGCAACGTTTGGGAAACGAGAGCAGGGATAGAAAAGAAAGAACAAAGGAGTATTTCAGGGATTAGCTAAACTTGGTCTTTGGGTTTGGGGAATGGGTTTAGTTTTATGTGACTTGAATCCTCCTCAGCCATTTAGAAAAGTAGAAAAAAGAAAATGAAACAAAGAAAGGAGAAGAAAGAGAAAAAAGAGAAAATGGAGGAAAAACAAAAATGAAAACAGAATAAGATAAAAGCAAAAATAAATCAACATAAAATTAATTAGAAAAGAAAGAAAAAAACAGACAAACAAACAAACAAAGGACTGCTCCACCCACCTGGCTCTATTCTGTGTATCTTTTTCCCTAAGTCCAATGCTGATTTGTCTAACTTACCACCTGTTGGTTCATATTTTGGTCTTTTCAGTTTCACTAGTCTCACCTGTCCATTTTGTGTGCCTTAGTCAGGGTGCTACTGTGTGGTTGATGTTTCCCCAGTTGTTGGATCCCATGGTGTAGAACAAGTCACAACCATTCCTCCTGACAGTTGGTGAGTCTTGGATTTTTCCTTGGCTGACTAGCCTGGGAGTATTGATGTGAACCAACCATTGGCTCATACTGTTACCTTCCCAGGCTGCCAGACCCACCTGTCCATAGTGTGCTCCTCAGTTGGGGGCCTACTGTGTCTCTGGAGATCTTGCAGGCCCCCATGGGTCCTCTAGATAGAGGAAGGGGTCGTGGGTGCTCTCACAGGCTCACCCTCTGGTTGTGTGATCTTGGATAAATCACTATCTCTTGCTATATTTCAGTATCCAGTGAAAATGGCCATAAACTTCACCAGAGAAGACTGGTAGTGAAGATTTCTGATGATAAGTACAGTCTCTACATAAATAGAAGGGCTTCTGTCTTTACCACCCACATGGCCTCAGGGGCCTACACAAATTCTCCTGAAAAGTCCTCTCCACATTGTTTTTCGTTAACAGGAAATGCATTTTCTACTTTCTGTGTTTTTACAGGCTGTGTGGATACAAAGGAAGCTGATATCTATTTCCTTATTGATGGCTCATCCAGCATCCAAGCAAAGCATTTTGTGGAAATCAAAGAGTTCATTTCAGCCGTGATTGATAGGTTTAGCATTGGTCCAAACAAAGTTCGAGTTGGAGTTGTGCAGTATTCAAGTAAGCAGGAAGAAGAAATTGCTATCTCTCACTATAATAATGCTGTGGACTTAAAAAAGGCTGTTCTTAACATTCAGCAACTACAAGGTGGCACCTTGACTGGGGCTGGCCTGAACTTCACACTGTCACTCATAAAGAAGGGAAAGGAGGACAGGGCAAGTGATGTTCTTTGCTTCCTCATCGTGCTGACTGATGGGCAGTCCCAGGACAGTGTCCTGGAGCCTGTGGCAAGACTGAAGGCTGAAAAAGTTATCATTCATGCAATTGGCATCGGAGAGGCTGACAAAACACAGCTGCTACAAATAGCTGGGAAAGAAGACAGGGTTAGCTTTGGGCAGAACTTCGATTCTTTAAAAAATATAAAAAATGATGTGGTTCACAGCATCTGCACCCAAAAAGGTAAGCAATAACAAGAAAAAAGGCTTTGTCTTCCCATTTCACTAATGGTTTCAGGTAGATAAATGCCCTAACCGAGAAACAAGATGTGATGTGACCAGCTATCTGGCCAACAGTTTGCTAATCTCCTATGTCAGCATATAAAGTGTCGGCTTCTGCCCTGAACCAGTCGCCAAGCCTGGAGAAGTCCTCCTAGAAGACCTATGTTCCCCTACCAGAGAACCTGTGAGTTGTGAGTGGGAAGAGTGTCAAGAATATTGTGGCCATAAAAAAAGCCCACTACCTTCTTGATATGAAAATATTTGAAGCTAGAGTATATGAAGTTTTATCCAAATATTTCAAGGAAAAAGACACTATGGTAACTACTATTAAGTCAGGTTATAAGGTGGTGAAGTACTAGGTTGTTGAAACAGTCATGCTGTGACCTCTATTGTTATATTGTTATGTCCTGTTTTATCTCAATCTCCCCCTTATTGTTTCAAAAAAAAATATTTAGTCATTTCTTATGTTTGTTTTAATTAAAGAAAAAATTCAAAAAAATTAGGATATATAAATAGTAACTCTTTTCGATTTCCTATTAACTTGTTTTGAAGTCCTGTAGTACTCCCACAATCTTGTTTTGACTGATTAGACTGTTCCATTCTATATGATAGTATCAAGTTTGAAGACATAGGCAACTACTTTGAAGACAATAAGATTCACTAAGATACCCATTCTGGTTTGACTATTGTCTTCTTTGGAAGTCCTGTAATGTTTACAATGCCTAAGTTTTATTGGTCTTGTTCTCTACTGTTTTGTCCAACTTTATAATATCTAATAAGATAGACAATTCTTTTTAAGGAAACAAGGGACAACGTTGATAACCATTGTTGATAAACTTGTACTCTGTTCTACACCATGTGCTATGTCTATCCTTGGTATTGACTGACAGCTTTGTTTTGCCATATTTGACTGTATTCTTCCCCCCCCCCCAAAGAAAGTAATAAGCACTAAGGAGTAATAAAATCCAAGATGTGTAAATTTTGTTGTAAAAAAGAGAGGGAAAAAAAAAAGAAAAAGAGCTCTAATGGATATAACAGCAAGTGTGTTTGGGGGTGTTAAATAGCTGACTTTATCAATGTTTTTGGAACATTGAACACAGCTGTTTGCAGTCTCCCTGTTTGAATGTCCACCTTGTGTTCTTTGATACTGTGATTTGAGGAACTATTTTCAAGAAGATAGTGTGTAATCTACTAGCAGGTAATTTCTTACTGTTATGTTTTTTTGTTTTGTTTTGTAGTTCTGTATTGCGTGTACCCTTACGCCGCTTTGGTTTGTTTTGTGTTTTTCTCTTTTTCCTCTTAAATAAAAAAAAAAAAGCCCACTACTATTAAGTGGAAAGGATTCTGTTCTGCATGCAAGTCTGGGTGTGTGTGTGTGGGGGGGGTGTGTACCTTCAATACATTGTCCCTCTGCCTGGCTTTCTTTCTTGGCTTATTGTGAATTGTAATGGAGATAACACACGTGGAGGCCTTAGGGAAGGATCTTACAATAAGTGCTACATAAAAGCTATTACAGGTGGTGTAAGTGTTCATTGATAAGAAGAGCACAGAGTCCTTGCTTATTTGAACTTACTAAAGAAAAATAAGCAATACAATATGCAGTGTTAGCAACAAAATCCTAAGCCACGATTTTGTTCATTTTTCCTATTAATAGAACTAGGCTTTTAGAATCTTTAAGAAGACTACAATAGTAAAAATCTCCCCAAGAAAAGTAAAAAGGTGTCAGGAAACATGAAGTAGATTGTAAATAGCTTGCACCTTCAATCCTGTCAAAGGAGAAACTTCTGGGCTAATCTGAGGAGAGACAGCCCCCCTCTAACAATGGAGTACTGGGGGAGGAGATGAGCTGGGAGCAAGTGGGTGAGTCATCAGAGTGAGTGGAGAGCAGGAGCTTAATTGAGCCCAAGGGACTAGAAAATACAATTGTCAGAGCAGGTGCAGGTGGAGGGAGCCACACTGTGTCAACTTGGACCAATTAAGCTGCTCTAACAAAGAGTCCAAACTATAAACAGCATCATATGATTTCTCTCCTTCAAAAGAGTCTGGAGTGAGCAGTTCAGGGTCTAATAGAGAGGCGGTTCCATTCTCTGTATGCTGCTTCCATGCCTACTCAAAGTTCAAGTCCTAGTTCTCATCACCACCCAGTCATGGAAAGGGAGAAAGAACCCACTCACCATGATTAGTTGTTTCAATGGGAAGAATTGAAATGGGGCAGAATCATTGTTGCCCAAATCTTTGGGCCCAACTTAGACACAGGCTTGTGTTTAGTTTCAAGGAAGGCTGGGAAATAAGAGTCTTTAGCTGGGCAACCACCTGCCTAGCTGAAATGAGATGAGGATAAAAGGGTGGAGGAACAGCAGGGGACAAGACATGGACTTTGGCAATGGTAGAAATAAGGAAGTAGGTATTGAGAATACTAAAACACATGTAAAAGTCTTTACTTCTACCCATGTCACACAGAGAGCATCTGCCACTCCTCCCCAAGGCAAAGCTTTGCCAATCCTGCACACATTTAGGGTTTCAGGATGGCTCCAAGGTGTTTAAAAACATCTTTGAGATAAGGTCATGCTGAATGATGCATACTTGAACTGCATTTGCAGTTCTCATGCCTCAGCCTCCCAGAGTGCTGGGATTATAGGTGTGTACCATCATGCCCTACTTGGAATCTTCTTGTCAATCCTCATGGAGTATCTGAGGCATTAAGATAATTATCTTTTCATTTTTCCATGTATGGTTGATGCTATGTGTTTATTTTCAAGTACTGTGGGATATAATCCATGAGTATTAAGAGGGTAGGAAGAGGGTGATAGAGATTACGGCTGGACGATACCCAGCAAAAGGGATAGGATTAATAAAATGCATGCTGAAGACAATATACTTGCCATATGTGTGTGTGTGATATACACATTAAACATATTCACTGTGGACTTATACCACTTTCTAATAGCTTGTAGAAATGGCCTTTTATGTGTACATATGTCCATTTCCAGTCAAAAAGCTGCTTAGAATTTTTGTATAAAGAAATTGTCCATAGTGAACAGATGGTGCCCACCAAAGCACTCATTATCCCTGGTAAGAACTTTTCACTCAAATTTTGAATATTGACTTATAGTGTTTATCAAATCAGTTACAATTATCCCAGAAAAGAATACTATTTAAAGAAATGGAATTGCATTTTTCAAGAAGATATAAACTCTGAATATTTAGTTCTGGATTCCTTTAAAAAATTTTTTTTTGGATCATCACGCATCCTTAATAATAATCTGAGGCTTAGAACTTTAATAGGGTTGGGGATATAGCTCAGCGGCACAGTGCCTGCCTGGGAAGCACCAGGTTCTAAGTTCAATTCCCAGTACAAAAAAATAAAGAAAGAAAGAAGAAAGACAGAGAGAAAGAACTTTAATAGGGGGGAAATGGCCCAATGGAAGGGGAACCAAGGAGAGGGCAGGGGGAAAGGAAGAAAGGGAAAAAGTGAACAAAGATAAAATGGAAACAAAGCTTCTGTAAATGAGGAGAAGAGGAGTTAAGGGAGGGGAATGAAACAGGAAACAAAACAGCAGGAAGTTATATCAGCGACAAAGTCCCCGTGATGAATGTGATCATTATGTATATCTAAAGCGTACCAATAAACTTAGTTTACTAAAAAAAGAATTACAAAAGAATTAACTAAGAATAAATGAATTATAGATAAATAAATAATGTATGCATGAATGAATGCACACTTTGGAAGTTGCATTTCCTTTTTAAAAATCCTTGGGTGATCTTCAGTGGATTTCTGATTCACATTCTGGTCATTAGACTTCTACGAATGTTGCAAAGAGAAATTTCAAAAAAACACCAGTTGCTTGAGTTAATTTTCAGTATTTTCTTATTAACACCTTTACTGTTGCCTTATTTCTAAGACATTCTGGTAACCATGGCCATTTCCATTTTTTTAATGACATGCAGGATGTGAAGACATGAAAGCTGACATCATGTTCCTGGTGGATAGTTCTGGGAGTATAGGATCTCCAAATTTCGAGATAATGAAAACCTTCATGAAAGACCTGTTGACTAAGATTGAAATCGGTGCAAACCAAACCCAGATTGGTGTGGTTCAGTTCAGCAATTACAACAAGGAAGAATTTCAGCTTAACAAATACTTCACGACAAAAGAAATTTCGGATGCAATAGACACAATGTCTCTCATCGGTAGTACCACTCTGACTGGAAGTGCATTAACCTTTGTAAGTCAGTATTTTACCTACCCCAAGGGCGCCCGTCCCCAGGTCCGAAAGTTTCTCATCCTCATCACAGATGGTGAAGCACAGGATGATGTGAAGTTTCCTGCAATTGCTCTTCGGGAAAGTGGGGTGATCATCATCACCGTGGGGGTATTTGGTGCCAACAGGACTCAGCTGGAAGAGATCAGTGGGGATGGAAGCCTTGTTTTCCATGTTGAGAACTTTGACCTCCTGAAAGCAATAGAAAATAAACTCATCTTTAGTGTGTGTGCTCTGCATGGTAAGTGACCAGATATCTTTTAGAACTCATGCATGTAATCTGTTGAATGTTCTGTGGATGCTGAGTGTTGTACTCTGTGCTGGGCTGCTATCTGGACTTTGTGTTAAGTTTCAGTCTTACTTATGTTATAGTAAACACTCTTGACTTCCAGGGATATTTCAGGTTAGCAGTTTGACACTGAATAATCTTGCTTTTGGTGACTTCAACTATATTTTAAGAAGGTCTCAGAATTTTACATAAAACTGCTAACTTTAATACTTGCATACCTGGATTTTCCAGAGCTAATTTTTATTCCCAAATGATTTCTTGGAATTGTTTTTTGACTAACCTTAACCACTATTAAGCTGTAAATTAGTAAAAATACAAATTCATCTTCCTTTTAGTTAAATTACATTCAACATATAAGAAATGTCTATCTACTATTTTTTTTTTTTTGCATTTTAAAGATATATGTTAACTTCACTTTTCCAAATTCTTCTTAACCTCTATTTTAGTTCATGTCCTAACTTTCTGGAAATTTGTGATATTGTTCTGATTGCTTGGGATCACCATTTTTATGTCACAAGTAGCAGTGCTTTTAGAATTGAATTAAACAGTCTTCAGTTGGAGTCTACCGATTTTAACAACTCTTGAATGACCACTTGCTATAAATCCACACAAAAACTAAAACATCTATGCTTTTAAACTACCATATCCTATTTTGTCTTTTGGATACAGCTAAAAGAACAAATTTGTTGTGCGTTGTTCACCTGGCAACATAAAGACATCTGTTTGACTTAACTCTTCGAAATGTGTATGAAATTTTCACAAAGTTAACAGATAAAATTTCATTGTAAACTCTGAGTTTTAGGTGAATTCTAAGACTTCTTGGTAACAGCTTATTGGAACTTTTTCTGCTTCTAAAAGTTGCAGTGATTCCAAAACTCTTGGTAATGTTGACAGGTATATCCTAAGACCAGAGCTTGGACTTGGAAATCTGCAGGGTTCTTCCAGGAATTTTGTTTTTCATTTGATAAATGTAATGTTTGTGGAGGCTCTGTTTGTAGCATAAGGTGAAATCTCTGCTAACTCTTTCATTAGGTGAACTCAGAATTACTAAGTCATGTCTAGTCATCACATCTCTGTGATTGTTGATCCAGGTTATAGACTAAGCTATCCAGTGTCTGAGACTTGAGAAGTTGAGATTTCATTGCCAGATATAAAGATTGAAGGTAATGTTGGCAGGTAGAAAGCTGAAAAATGAAGCTTTGGAAGGCACATGCTAAAGCTTTTTAAGGAAGGAAATAAGAGGATGAGAATCTATCCTTTTGAAGACCTGCATCAGAGTAGTTGCTTGGCTTGTAATGTGGTGCAAGGTTTGGGATTAGGGAGGAGCAGATGGGGGTTCTGTTCTCCCCCAACTTGAGGCCACTCCTTTACTGAGTTCTAATTCAGGAGGTCAATGGAAGGAGCACAGCTAAGTGTGGAGAGATGGATGCACAGAGGAAAGTTTGCCTATGAAGGCTCAGAAGACAGCTGCAGCCTAAGGGAGCTGAATGAAAACCTCAACTTAAACAATGAACTCCTAAAGTCTTTAAAAGTTCAGGTAGCCAAATAGCAGTATGTTTTACCCTCTTGTTGGCACTGAACTGGCTTCTGACCTTGCCTTGAAGTTGAAAGCCCGCTGAGCAAAAGGCCTTAGCTGTCCTGGTGAGATGCAGTAGAAGAGAGTGGTATGGTATAAGGATCATAGATCATGATCATGGCATTATGCAGATGAGGACATCAGTGTTCTCGAAGTCATGATCCGGACATGCTGCCCTTCTCCGAGCCTCCTCAAAGAACTTAAGTGATCATCAGGCATGTGGCAGGTTCATGGCAAAAGTCAGATTGCTTCCTTGTCAGTGATCCATGCAGAATGCCCTGCATAGTATTTGTGATCTCCTCTTTTTTCCTTTTTTCAGATTGTAAAAGGATTGAGCAGTTAGACATTGTATTTGTGCTGGATCACTCTGGCAGCATTGATAGGGGGCAGCAAGAGAGCATGATCAACCTGACTGTCCACTTGGTGAAGAAAGCAGACGTTGGCAGGAACCGAGTTCAGTTTGGAGCTCTGAAATACTCAGACGATCCTGAGATTCTTTTCTACCTTAACACATACTCCACCCGCCCAGAAATCACTGAGAATCTGAGACGTCGCCGGGATACTGGAGGGAATACATACACTGCCAAGGCTCTCAGACACTCCAGCATCCTGTTCAGGGAGGAGCACGGCAGCCGCATCAAGCAAAACGTGAAGCAGATACTGATCATCATCACCGATGGGGTATCCCATGACCATAACGAGCTCAGCAGTACAGCCCTGAAATTAAGAGAAGAAGGCATCACCATCTTGGCAGTGGGTGTAGGGCAAGCCAACCAAGAGGAACTGGAGATAATGGCAGGGGATAAAAACAATACTATCCATGTGGACAATTTTGACAAACTGAAAGATATTTACTTGCCTCTACAAGAAAGAATGTGTATCACTGCAACAGCAGGTAAGGTTTTTTTTTTTTTTAGTTTCTATGGAGTGTAGCAATAAAAGTTTAAATAAAATCATAAATCTTGACTTCCTGTTACCGGGTGTCATGAGCTGAATCTTTCTGTAGTCAGAAAACCAGTTTTCTCATCTAAAAGATATTGATTAATTGGGCAAGATCTCAAAGATCTTTTACTGTCACCTTAGACATTGAAGAGATGACACAAGAATGTTTCATGCACAGTCCTTGCTCTGGATGCCATTCTGTTGCCTTTTTCTGGCCACAGGAAGCTTTTTTTTAGGGTCATCTTGACTTATTTAACCACTCCCCATGCTGCTCCGATTGCCTCATGGTCTCAATGCAGCCATGGGACATCAGTTTTAGGCCAGACTCAAATGAAGAGTTTCATGGTTGAAATAGGTAGACTTTTGTCTTTAAAATACAATGTCATATTAAATAGTGAAGAGGATCTAGAGGTCAGAAACCAGCTCCACTCCATAGTAATTTTGTATTCTTACGCAAGTTACCTAACCTCTGATTTTTATTTCTATAGCTAGAAAATTAGTTTAATTCCCCATAAGGTGAATCTATGCATTAACAACATTATTGCATTCTAAAAGAATTTTAGTAATCATACATATGCAACAGGAAGTATTAATAGTAATAGGAGTACTAATAGTTTTATGGTAGTATCATAATTTGATTTGGGTGAATGTTCTGATATGAGTAAAAAGAGACTTCTAGTCTGTGTAGTTAATTATCTGTAATGATATAGTCCATCTATTCAAGCTTTCTACTTCTTTTTGAGTAGCTTGAAGTGTTGTTTCTAGTAAGTCATGCAGATAATTAAAATTTGAAAATCCTCTGTTATCATTCTCCTTCTTGCTATTTTTCCTTCTCTTTGAGGGCCAAGGAATTCTCTTTTCTGTTAATTTATCGCAATTTGCTACTACTATAAAACAACTTAAGAATTTAGTAAAGCAATTTAAATTTTAAAATATTTAGGCTGATTCACAAGAAAAGTAACTTACTCTTTATTCTTGTTGCAGCCTGTGACCTTCCGGAAGCTGATGTGATTTTCCTTTGTGATGGCTCTGACGTGGTAACTGATTCAGAGTTTGTTGCCATGATGACTTTCTTGTCAGATTTAATTGATAGTTTTCAAATGCAGCCTCAAATGCAAATTGGGATGGCTCAGTATGGGAGCCGCTACCAGGAAATTATAGAGTTGAAAAATTCTCTGAATAAGACCCAGTGGAAGTCAAAAGTTGAAACCGTTGCCAAGACCAAAGGGTTTCCACAAATCCACATAGCCCTCAAACATGTGCTCCATATGTTTGATCCGTCCATTGGTGGGAGAAAAAATGCTGGCGTTCCTCAGATTTTGGTGGTTACTGTATCCAGGAATCCTGCTGGTAACGTGATAGATGCAGTAAAAGCCCTAAAAGCCCATGGAATTTGCATCCTGGTTTTGGGCATTGGTAATGTTAATAAAGAACAGCTTCTGCCAATATCTGGAAATTCTGAAAAACTAATCACCTTGTCAGACTTTAATAGATTAAGGGATGTGGATGTGAAAAAAAGAATGGTTCGTGACATCTGCCAGAGCTGTGGGAAAACCAGTAAGTGCTCTTTGCTTTGTTTTGTTCACGTGCAACTTCCCATTTGTCTCAGGATGTCTTAGGGACCAGCTCCTGCAGAATGTGTAGTGAGAAGCATGTCCAGTGAGAAGAGACATCTCTTCTGCTTCCAATAACTTTGGGGTCAGCCAACCTCCCTCAAAGACAATGAGAGAGTGCAGGGGCTGGAAGGGCCTGGACTGTGTCCCCTGGTCACTCTTGTCTCCTCAATGTAATCCAGTGTGTTTATGTTCCATTTAGCACCTGCATCTCAGTGTTCTGTTTGTATTCTCTCCATTTCTGGAAGTCTTAGGACAATACACTGCATGCAGGAGGAAGGAAAGAAAATGAACATTTCCTGATTGAAAGTGTTACTCTTTTAACTTCTAAAAACCATCTTGTAAGGGACTTGTGTGTGGGTTCATGTGTATGTTTGTGTGCAGTGTTTTTTCCTTTAGTGATGATATACATACCGTCACAATATAGTAAAGGTTCTTAGATATTTTTGAATCCAGAGAGCATAAGTATAAATGGTTCTCAAGGCCAGGTGCTTCTGTGGGTGAATCAAGTGGACTGGGTCTGAGGACCTTGAACTGGAGAACAGCTCATGGTAAGGTTGCAATTTAGATCCATTTAATATTAAGTAGCCGTGGGGGACTCAGGTTCTGTCATTGTGGGTCTGGGATTTGGGAGGAAAACTTGTCAGGAAGTAGTCCACATTTCATGAAATTTGCATAACACAGTAATCTCCAGAGTGCTTCCAACTCTAAAGTTGTTCTAATGGAAGCTGCTCTGTCACAAAATATATCCATCTTGCAAATGCTCCCAATCTTTTATGTCCCATTTGGCTGCCCGAGGGGAGGCAAGTGACAGAGGAGAACAGAGCCCTGGGCCTGAGGGCAAAAAGCCAGAGTTCTAATTCTGGAACAGCAGCAGCACAGCCTCCATGAATAATAGCTGTTCTCTCCTCTGACAAATAAACAGCTAGACAGGATCAAAGGTAACCAAGTGGCATTGCACATTCAGTGTGCTTCTTCTGCTTAGAGCTGACAGCTTCCTAACTTTATCATCAGCATTAACAAACTTGGGGTTTTACATTTTGAAAATGTAGATTTCAGGCTTCTTTTGGAGAGCACTGGACCCTGTTTCCCACCTGACTGCTCTCCGCTGGAGCTGAGCTACAGATCCCAGTGAGCTTGGGTTCTCATGCTTGGCTCATCTACATTATCCACTCAGCCTTCACGCCCATTTGCATTTGTGACCTCTGAAGATTATATGACCCGCAGAACAGTTCAAATCTCTCATATGATTATATGAATCAGAATATGTCATCATTAAAAGAAGAAAAAATGTGCACATACACAGTCGCTAAGAATTGGTCTGCATTTCAAATAGCTACTGGAACTTGTAATATTTGAAAAGGGCCAGTAGCTTCCTTTTTGAACCCTTTTGGGTATTAGAGACACTCTACTTTCCACTCTGGGGGATAACAGCTCTCCTTTTCCCAGCCCTTCCTGCCGGCCCTCCAGCTTGCTGTATCCTCATTAATCTGGCCTTGTTTCCCTTGGTTTCCAGGTTGCTTTGTGGATGTAGTGGTTGGGTTTGACATTTCCACTCACCTTCAGGGGCAGCCTTTGTTCCACGGCCACCCCCACTTGGAATCGTACCTCCCCGGCATCTTACAGGATATCACTTCCATTAAGGGAGTGAGCTGTGGAGCAGGTGCAGAGTCACAGGTGAGCCTGGCCTTTAAGGTGGACAGTGATGGTGATTTCCCTGCCAAGTTCCAAATCTACCAGAAAGCAGTGTTTGACAGCCTGCTGCAAGTCACCGTTAGTGGCCCAACCCATCTGAATGCACAGTTCTTACAGTCACTGTGGGATACATTTGAGAACAGAACTGCATCCAAGGGACAGGTATCCTTGTCACTCCTTACTCTTTGATTTGTTCCTCCTTCCCCAGTTACGTCTCTAGTCTTTGCATCATCCTATTTTTTGCTTTCCTCAAGGTGATGCTGATCTTTTCAGATGGTCTCCAGGGCGAAAGTATCACCATGCTTGAAAATCAATCAGACAAGCTGAGAGAAGCAGGTATTGTGCTGAATATGTAAACAGAAAAATATGGAATATGCTGAACAAGGGCTCTAGATCTCGGGATCCTTTAAATCACCTGCAGTGGATGCTGCTGGGGACATGCCTAGGGCCCCTTGTTTGGTCTCCATAGATGTCTTTGAGTATGCTGGAAGTCCTGATTTCACTTACGTTTGTTTTTCTTTATTTCTGATTATCCAAATAATGTTCATCAAGTGGAGCCTCTTTTTCTTGGCCAAACCCTTGAGTTATAGACACCTATTATTTTTGTTAAATAGGTCTTGATGCTCTGCTGGTGGTAGCGCTCAACCCAGCTGCTCATGATCAGTTTTCCAGCTTTGAATTTGGAAAAGGCTTTGATTATAGGACTCACTTGACCCTTGGAATGAGAGAATTAGGCAGCATGCTATCAAAGTTCCTGGTGAGTTTAAATCCAGTTGTTCCAAATGCCGTGAGGACTAAATTGGACTGTTGGTATCTCCAAACACTGCCTTCGAATGTGCCACTGAATTAAGTGCATGGTCATAGCATATAAAAATTATGAAAGACCAGAATATAATACTTTGTTTTGCATATCTCTAATTCTTTGTCATCTCACTAAATGAATGCATAAGGAACTAAAAACAAGCCAGTCCCTAGTATAATTAGACAGTCCTTAGTTTAATTAGTTAACAATGTATACTACAGAAATTCCTATTTTAAGATACTGTTAACTAGGACCAAGACATTGCAGGCAAACTTGGTGTGTTGGTCATTTATGTGCTTGGTATCCTGTCTATAAATAAAGGTAATTTCTTTTGGAATGGGGATCTGCTACTTTCTCTGCTGTATTAAGTCAAAATGCACCTCTTCTTTCTTGTAGCTTCTTATCCAAAAACAAAAGGTGGGCTTGTAGGTGGTGGATTAGGATTTGTATGAATATGACTCTCATGTAATAAAATTTCTGACAGTTTTTGCTCACTCAGTTTTGCTTTTTTTAGGGAAATATTGCAGAGAGGACTTGTTGCTGTGCATTTTGCAAATGCCCGGGGATTCTGGGACCTCATGGAACCCAAGGATTGCAAGGTCCCAAGGTGCTGTTATGTTGTAATACTGCTTTCCCTAGAGTGCCTTGCTCTGGGATGGGTGATACTGAGACTGAGTGGTTGAATTTGCAATTTCACTCCATACTAATGTAACTGCTCTGGGCATTTCACATGACGTTTATGATGTAGGAGGCAGTTCAGAAGGTCTCACTTTTGATACTATCAAAAATAATCCTTTTTTCTCTCATGTATTCTTCTTGGGTTTTGCAATTTACACTTTTATATCTGCTGTAGGCAGTTGAGAAGGTGTTAGGAATAATGGAAAGAGTTATGCTTCATCAGCAATGAAATGAGATTGAACTGCAGAAAATCATGGTACTACAAGACCTTTAAAGCAACAAATTTTAAAAGATCAATTACATAACAACAGAATCAATAAATATAACATAGAATGTTCAATAAAATATTCTCTTTCAATGCAAAAGAATTCACTATAGCTATACACACAAACATGTATATGTTCTACCAACACAATAATGACTGAAAAATATCGAAACACAGAGTACCTATGGATTCCATTTATGAATAGCTTGAATATAGACAAAACTAAGCTCTAGTGAGTACTTTAGTTGTGAAGTCCTTCAAGGAGGTAAGGAAATGAGTGCTGTCCTGTGGATGGGGTGGCGGCTGTAAGAATGGAGTTGAATGTGACTGTGGAGGGTGCTGTGTCTAGGTAATGTTCTAATTCTTGACCTGGGTGATGAGTGCACAGATTTTACATATGATAATTATAAAATTACTGAATAAAATTTACTTTATAATAATATGTAATTTTATACTATTTTCATTTGTATACTTTTCAAGTGGGTTTTCAGGGCCGGGAATTTAGCTTAGCAGTTGCTTGGCAAGCGTGAGGGTATAAGTTTGAGCTCTATTATCAAAAAAAAAATATTCAAATGGATTTTCCCTATCCCAATAAAAAAGACTTTCTTTTCAAAAAGATAGACTATAATACTTGCTCATGATTTTGGTATTATCATCCTTATGGAAGGATAATTTACGCTGGACTTTTTCCTGTGTTGTGGTATTTTGTTTAGTAAAATCTCCTGTAGCTTCAACAGTGAATTGTGTGCTGGGATGTGACCTCCCTGGTTTTCTGTGTAGACAGTTGGGATCTGTGTTGGAGGATGGGCAGACCACCCTCAAAAACACAAGTAAAAATTTGCCAGAAAGCAGCTAAACTATGTGTGCAGAGAGAGAAATGATGGTAATTTAAATATGCATTATCTTGTTGTTGGTGCTTGTTCTTCCTTGGGCTCTCAGAAAAGGCAGAGGAAAGTAAAACAATCTCTCTGCAATTGTGAATGACTTTCCTGCTAAAAGAGTTATGGTGGTCATAGCTGTCCTCCCTGAAAACCCTCTGGGCACGGCAACGGCCCTTGGGGTTCTCACCTGCAAGGCAGGCTCCTAGGGTCAGCCTTCTTCTGGAATCTAAAGGGTCACCTTCTGCGGGGTGGGGGGGGGGGAGGTCTTCAGAGAAGAGATGAGTGAAAAAACAAAAGCCAGCTTCTAATGATGTCAGACTCTTTCCAAAGTAACAGTCATAGCTCCAAAAACCCAACATGGTGAAGGGAGGAAGCTGTGTAGAAGGTCTCAGGCCTCTGTGAATTTGAATTGACAGCAGGACCGCTAACACACGCTTTGTTTATCTTTCCTTCCAGGGTTCTCCAGGTCACAGAGGCAGCAGAGGACACAGGGGAGAAGACGGAGACCCTGTAAGTTTTATGACTCCCCCCCTCCCACTCCCACTTTCTGATTTTCTTTCTTGGGAAAAGCTTTATGTTCACACAAAAGTGACAGATGGGGTTCTGTTTATAGGTTTATTTTTATAGCGTTTCAGGGGAATGCATTGCTTTTGTTTTCCTGTTTTCTTGTCTGAATTATGAGGCCCTTGATAAATTTAAATTGAGAGGACACAGGTTCACATACATGGCCTGGCATGTGGTGTCAGGGGAGGGGAAGCTGGGCATCCTCCTCTCTACCCCAAGCAGCATACAGCAGGTTACCTGCCAGGAAGCTAACTTTAGACTGAAATGCAGTACTTAGTAGAAGACCATAGGCCAAGCTGGAGCATCCAACACTCCAATGGACAAGGCACCCTTTGGACATGGCTCCATGACCACAAGTTACACGCAGAGGGTTGCAGATCTCAGTCCTTGATCCTAAAACCAGAACTCTCCCTCAGTTCACAACAAATTGTGAGTGGAATCTGGAGGAATGGAGCCACGTATTTGGCTCCATTTTGTTTAGGGTAATTTCAAGAAGCTTCCTGACTAGACCTTTATCCTGTGGAATCAAGGCCAGCTCCTCATCTGGACAGCAAGTTTATCAAATATCAAAGCCAGACTCGAATTAGCCTGCCATGGTTTGACCTACTTATGAGACCTTGAACAAGAGACTTAACTTCTCGACCTTAGTTTCCTCATATGTAAATGCTTACAGATTCCTCTAGGACCCTAAAGCTGACCTAGTTTGCAAAACTCACTTGGACCCTCAAAGGAGAATCAAGCTGGTATGGGAATGCTTTGGGTACTGGGAACAGAGCTACCCATCTGCCTGGCTGAGGGCCCACAGCTGGCCCGAAGTCCAGGCAATCAGAAGTTGTAAGTTTATGTATGCATAACAACCTGGGACCTTGGGCAAAGCTTATTCGTGCTACAAACTGTGAGCATCTGTTGTGCACCCAGACCTGAGGCAGCACAAGCTTAGGTCATGATGGTGACAGAGACAGCTATGGTCTCTGTCCTAAAGGAGCGTGCATTTCTTCTTCAGAGATTCATTTTACACTTGCACTTTGCTTGTATTTAAGTATTTCCTGGGAGAAGCAAGGTTGCTGGGAGTCACACACATCACTGACCCTGAGGACATCACTATGGCTGATCTGATTTTGGGGTTTCTTTTTTTTTAAATTTTTATTATTATTTAAAGAAAGACAAAACAAAATAGAAAACAGGCAGAAATAGTATATACTTTCAAAGAAAGGAAATAAACAGTAATAAATCACTAGTTGATGTATACATATTGTCCCCCAACAAATAGTTGTTCAAGATACAAAAGTGGAACATATAAATGGGAATTTAACCAGGGAGATTGCAAACAGTCCTGTTCAACTATCCAACAAAAACTAAGTACTATGAGTATCAATCCTATACACTCAGACATGTATGCATTTATCCATATCTTCGTTTAGGTTGGGACCTAACTAAACTTATTAGATTAAAATCCTTCTGAACAAAGATTAATAATATTGCTGGATTTCACATCATAACACTCCGAAATCAGCACTGGGTACTGCAGTGCCTCTTTCTTTCCTTGAGTATTTGTTCATTTCATCATGTGTCATAAGATCAATTCTAATAAACTGTTTATAGGTTTTACGCAAGCATGAGTCTTAATATGTATTTCTATCCTTTCTATATTAGAGCGCGAAACAGAAAAAAGCAGGATAGAACTAAACATACTCCTATAGACACATAAAACTAAAAAGACATATAAAATTGCTGTATAAGGAGTTCTACCGTGGTCACTGTGCTGTTTCTTGTTATCATCAACAGAATTGGCTATATCATCAGATAAATGATTTTGGGATTTCTAATCTGGTGTCCCTCCCCATCAGGACTGGCACTGCTGCCTTTGTGCCCTTGTTCCATCAGCTCTCTCTGCTCAACTCCAGGACCCTGGCACAGCCTTGGTTCTGTAGGCCAGCAACTTCAACTTTTCCAACCCATCATCAGTTCCTTGAGCAACTGACATCTTGTCAGGACCAACACAGGGATTCCTGTGATACTTAGAAATGTAGTTAGAATGACTTTCGAATCTTTGGCTGCACTGTCTGATAAGGGTGTGAAGTACCTGAGTCCATCTTGCAATGACTTATGACCTCAGGTCTGTAAGGAATCCCTGGAGTCTGGTCAGGAAAATGTACAATGTAGAGGGAGAGAAAGATTTAAATGAACAAGCTCAGAAAAGGATTTGCTTGGCCTAAAGCCTGGCATTCTTGTTTGTCGTTCAATATTCAAAAAGCTGCCAGACAAACTTCTGGCAGCTTCTGACAAAAGGTTCACTTTGAATATGTGTCTGGATCTTTTGTTTTAGGGAAGAAGAGGAGAAATTGGACCCGGAGGAGACATAGGGATTGTAGGATGTCCAGGAGAGCAGGGTCAGAAGGTAAGGAAGGCCATATTGGAAATGTTACTTCCATTTCCCTGCAACATTCTCCCCCATCTCCTCCAATCTTTCCCTTCCTTGTTTTCCTCTTGTTTAACCCTTCCCTTTCTCCAGGTACATCTGTTAGCTCTGTTGTCTGCATATTAATTCTGCTTCTTAATAATCTTGAGTCTTGAGCATTAATTAAATCCCATCTGTAACTCCTTTGCGGCTGGATAGCCAGAAACAACTAAAGAGACACCCAGTCCATTTCTTTAGGGAGGCAGCTTCTTCCTCCTGCAGCCTGCAGATCAATGCTCTGTTCTTGATACATTAATGACAGGCATTTCATCTTTTGCAGGGAGCCAAAGGAGCTTCCGGATATAAGGTATTATGGTTTCTTCTCCGTCAGTTTTGATTTTATACTGGGATTAGTCTCTTCATAAGTGTACAGCAGAGACCTTTCTTTACCTGATGGCTGTCTGTCACCTATCAGGGAGAACCAGGTGACAGTGGTGTGGATGGAATCGATGGGGAAGAGGTAAGCCATTTTGCTTCAAGTTATAAACCCATTGTGAGGTTGACTGTATTTTTTTACATGGGAATTTTCTTATCTTCTTTTAGGGATTACATGGATTTCCAGGGAAAAAAGGAGAAAAAGGTGATCCAGGATCTCAGGTAACCCTGAAGGGGAAGTTGATGACAGAGACTGTCTTCATTGTGTGGAAGTAGTTCCTGGGGATAAACTGACAGTTGACTGAATCACATGGTGAAGACCTATTACCAATACCACATTCCTATATAGGGTAAATTGGTAATTATATAATTTTCAAGAATTTCCAGCTAGAAAAGTTCAAACCATGCAAGGTCCTTCCATGATCATGTTTTTCAGAAGTCTGTAGATGAATGCTTTAATCTCTGTGTAGTCTTTATAGTATCAGAAAAATAATTAAAAGCAACAGAAAGTAATTTTGGTGGTCTTAGTGCAGCAAGTCATGGTAACTTCTAAATTTTAAATTCATCTCAATATGCATGGACATATGCCTTCTTGATTCCAGGAAGCTCTACTTTTACATCCTGGTTGACTTATTTATCAAATATTCTTCTGGATCTGTCATGTGCTAGACACTGAGTTATGTGCTAAAGGGTCAGAGATGGACCACAGGGTCCTTGTTCTCAAGGGGCCCATAGTGTAGTTAGATAGGCAGACTCATCAATAAATAGTATGATTAGAAGACCACATGAGGGTTCAGAGAGGGGCAGCTCCCCAGAGAGGGGCAGGGGACGAAAGTGTCCAGGAGGTCTTCTTGGAGCACATGATCCTTGAACTGGAGATGAACAGCAATTAGCAGAGCAAAGATGTAGACGGAGAGCATTCCAGACAGAGGGAACCTGTGAGCAGATACGAGGTGCTGGGAGTTGTTCCACTGGAAGGATTACAGGAGTACAAGGAGCGGAAGGTTCAAGAGGTGGCAGAAAGAGGTCAGAGCAGCATGAGGAGCCATGGGGAGGAGTCAGCTTTTACCCATCAGGTCATGGGGACTTTGGACAGATTTAGTATTGAAATTTGATTTTAGAAAGACTACCTGGCAGTAGTATGGAGACTTTGGAAATGACCCGGATGCAAGGAGGGATGAGAGGTGTAGTGATCAAGGCAAGGAAGGATGAAGCCTTCCAGTGGAGAGACAGCAGGACGCCTGGGCATGAGATCTAACTGGGGCCCTGCTGGGGCGAGGGGAACAATGGGCATCTGGGGTACCACAGAGGCACTTGCTCTCTCAGTCATGCAAAGTGAGTGTCTCCCTGCGTTTTCCACCCTAGAAGGCTCTCCAGGCTTATACAGCCCTGGCTGTGGGCCAGAAGACCTTCACATCAAGCTAATGAGACCAGCAGGAAATGGAGAGTCAGTCAAATTGCCCGCTAATGCCTTGGTTTGGGTGGGTTGAGTTGGGAACAGTTGAATTGAGGTAACCATGGAACATCCCTGTAGAAGTTTCTGTTATAAATTCAGTTATGGATATCAGAAATTGTTAGACTGGTGAGGATGTTCTGTACAGTAGGCACTAGCCACATGGATTATTTAAATTTATATTAAAAAATTCTAGTCTTCTGTTGCATAAGCTACATTTTAAGTGCTCAGTGGCCACATTATGTTACAGTAGCTCCCTTAGTAGACAATGCAGAGGTAGAGCTTTTTAATCTCTGCAGGAAATCCCGGTGGTCTGCCCTACATGAGACCAGAGACATTTTCCAGCTTTTTACCCTCACATCCCATCTCCTGACCATAGACTTAAAATTGAACTTGGAAAGTCTAAAGGAACATGGCTTAGTTAAAAGAATGTGGAGCATTTTATCTGGTTATTTTTTGCCCTACACAAATGTGCACATGCACACACACACACACACACACACACACACACACAGAGCACTTGACATTTAACATCATTATAAAAGCCTCTTGAAGTAACGTTAACTCAGAATCTCCTTTTATTTTTTCAGGGCAACCCAGGCTCCAGAGGCCCCCCTGGGGAAGAAGGAGAAAACGGCTTCCCAGGGGACCCGGTAAGTTACTGTCAGTCACTGTTGCTAGCTCCTTTCCTTTCATGCCTTTGGCTAACCTATAGGCAAGTGTTTGCCTTGGGAGTGGGGTGGTAGGCATTAACTGAGGCATTATGAGAAAAAGTTTCTATCTGTGTTTGATCTGGCAAGGTCAACTATTTTAAAGATTGAAGACTGGGTTTGGGAGTTTCATTTTATGACTTAAGGCATGTTGTTGAGACTTTCAAGTTTCTTTGGGGGAAATTTTCCATAATTTGTTGGTTGAATTTCTAATCTTTAAAACCTAGAGTTTCCCTATTTGTTGACCCAATTATAGGAAATTTTTATTGTACTGGTGAGGGAATAGCCTAATAATGTTTGGATGGTGGATCATTGAAGCTGCTTTTCTAGGGAAAGTTACTGTGTAGTGAGCACTTATAAATCCTCATTTATCACCAAATCGCCTTCAAACTTAAGGAAATGTTGCTTTGATTTTTTCAAAAATCTTGAGTTTCAAGTTGAAGAACTTTCTCCCACTTTTCATCCCAGAACTTAATTACCTTGGTTCTTGAACACTGTATCATTTTGTAAAAGAAGCTACTCCTAGACTCTAAAATACTTCTATTTTAGGAGCTATTTCTGGATTCTAAAATACTTTACAAATCTTTTAGGGTGATCCAGGACAAAACAGTAACATCAAAGGACAAAAGGGCTCCAAAGGAGAACAAGGAAGACAGGTAATCATATCTACTTTACCTCAATGGGTTGATTATTTCCATTTTTGAGCTAAGTAAATTTAGTGAAATATATAAGCCAATCCTCTGTAATTGAACAAGCACCTATGTTTAAAAAAGACCTAATGTCTTAAAATAAATAACGTCCGCAGCAAGCTACACTTGTATGGGAAAAATTGTTTTTGAAGTAATATTGTTTGGGAAACAGTACATGTTACAATATCTTGTTTTCTTTGAACCCTGTATCATTTTGCAAAAGAAGCTATTTCTGGAATCTAAAATACTTCTATTTTAGGAGCTATTTCTGCCCAGCTTTGTTCTACTGTTTTAATAGCATTTTTGTTTGATATTGAAGCTTTTCTAATTTACCCAGAATCTTTTACCTTACAATCTTGGGGGAACTTTTGTGTTTCTAGGGTAGAACTGGACAGAAAGGGGAACAAGGCAGCCCTAGCTCCAGAGGAAGAAGGGTAAGTACCCCTATGGCTATTTGTTTGCCCTCTCTATCTCTTGAAGACAGTGCAGAAGCATTCAGATTATTTATTGTTGAACCAGGGCTGTTCCATTTGCAGCATTTCAAAGTCTTGTCATGGTTGACATTTTGGACCAGAGTACTTTTTTGTGTCTTATAAGATGGTTAATTGCATTCCTGATCTCTACCCACTGGACTCAGTAGCATTACACATCCTCTCTGCCCATTTGTGATGTCCAAAAATGTACAAATATTGCCAGACATCAGTGAGGGTGGAAGTGGGGGAAAACTCACCCCTGGCTGGAAACCACTGTGATAGTCTCCTTTCCCCTGTCCACCTTCCAAAAGCTTGTGAATGTTCTTGGAAGACAATCAATGCGTGTAGCATAAATACCCTTCTGTAGTAGCTTAGTATCTGTGAGCTACGTAAGAATATCGTTGGGGGCTGGGGATTTAGCTCAGCGGCATAAGCGCCTGCCTTGCAAGCAGGCAGTCATGAGTTCGATCCCCGGTACCAGTAAAAATGAAAAAGACACACACACAAAAAAAGAATATCGTGAACTGGGTAAACTCCCTGTTGGCTTTCTTCTTACACATTGCCAGTGGGAAAGAGGAATCTGACATAAATTCTTCCTGAATGGATCAAAACACTGGAAACCTCAGAACCCTAGGATAACTTAGTAGCATCCTTTGTGATATTAATTCTATCACAGCAAAAACAAGGACATTGAATTCTTCATATTTTTAAGGAATAATCAGGAAATCACATTTTCCTTTGTGGACTCTTGAAGCTAGAGTTATTTGTGGTGTTAGAAAATGGCCTACCATGTGCTCAGGGAGGAACAACAACAAAGAAAGAATAATGTGTAAAGACCTAGATTTAGCCCTTTTTTCCAAGAGGGAACTGAAGATTTGTGGCTCTCTTTTCTATGAAAATTTGCAATCTTCTCACCAAACGTGGGTCACAGCTAGCTGTCTTCTTGCTGGGATAGGTAGCAAAGATATTGCCCTGATCCTTCTTGCCTTTAGGTATCTTGAATTCCAAGTTTTCTGTAGGAAAAGCATCTGTAGACAAATGAGGATGGCTCCCCAGTGCTTCTGCTAACATTTCTTGGGACTTTGCCCTCTGCTTCACTTGTGGGAGTTAAAATGCTCAACAGAGGAAGCCATTGGACAGCAAGATGAAATGAAGATTATAAATTTTAAAGAGAAATGTGTCTTGTTGGTTTAAGAGAAAATACTTGTAGTTTGAAATAGCTTTAAAGCAGATTACTATATTAATTGGGAACCTCAGTGGAGAAAGTGACTATCTTGTGGGGCTGTACTTTGGTCAGTTTGTTCATTCTAAGAAATTTCAGGGGATGGACAGCTGAAAGAGAGCAGCAATCCTGAAAATAATTATATTGCAACAAATGGAAGAATATATTGTTTTAAGTATTTCTTTTGTGCCCAAAGTAATCACAGTCATTTATCGCAGCACACAGTGAGTCGGTGTGTCACAGAATGTGTCACAGCTTTCTCAAAGTGAGGCGAGTAAGTGGTATTATCCTATTTTAGGGAAAAAGAAGTGAGGATCTGGGGCCTGAAGGATCATCCTGATTGGCTGCCCTGTAAAATAACGGGGGTGAAGAGATGACTCCGAGGAGAGACCATGAGCTGCAATAGGAACTGGCTTTTGGAAGGGTATAGGCAGGTCAGGGCTTGCAGGATCAGCCTGGCTCTTCTCTGATGGACCCAGTGGTAGCACCAGATCCCTGCACAGTGGAGCAGACCTCCAGCCATTTCCCTCCTGTAGCATTCCACAGGGTCAAGCTCTGTGAGCCCATGTGTAGCAATGTATCTAGAAATTTCACTTTCCCCAAGACACAAGCAGGAGTACAGGGTAGGGAGAGATGGACATGCTGCTGTTATCCTCCTGGGGTGAGCCTCTGCTTAGCAGGGAGTGCTTCCCCAGTTTTCTATGGAACACAAATTCTTCAGGATAATTTGAATCTTCAAACAGCTTCCTGGGAAATTGTTAGAGGTTGTCAAACTGGAGTTCAGTCTGTAATGACTTTTAGATTGGTTTGCGATCTATCTCCAAATGTTAGCTTGAAATTAAGTGCCCCATATGAAAACTTGTCTGTGGAAAATGCCTGAGGAGGACCCTTTCTGTGTAGGCTGCTCATTACTTGTGTCAATCAGGGATGAAAGAGGCTGGCTTCCCTGGGGAAGCCCTCCCTGTAGAAGCACTGATGCACTGCCCTTTGTCTTCCAGGGAATGGAAGGCCCCAGAGGGCTCCAGGGGGCTTTGGTAAGTGATCTTTACTTTCTGTCCTCTGTGGCACAGAGGACCAAGAATATTTTTCCTGTGAGGGTGGTGTTGGGAACCTTTGACAAAGATATTATAGGAAGTGTCCATCACCGAGTGTGACCCCACTGATTGGAGGGGAATAAAGTCACCATCAGTTCAGCTTGCAGAAATGGGATGGGGAAATCTCATCTAAGGCAGATCTCCTTCACAGACTCACTATTGAAGAATCTGTGCCTTGCATTTGACTTTCCTCAGTGTGAGGAATCAGTGTGCAAGAGAGTGAAGTTTTTATGAGAGTAAGAAAAATCTTTGTATCTGTTCCTTGGATTTATATTTAGATAGTCTGGAAGAGTAAAATCCTAGACCAATTAGGGATTGAGCCATGAGCCTGGCAAAGCACTACGTAGGTCCTCTGGAAGTACTAGAAAGAGAAGAGCTTTGTGGAAACTATGGTGAAAACCTTAACACTAAAACTCTTATTCCTCAGGGGGAGCCAGGAGATCCTGGACCTCAAGGTGCACAGGGAGCTGAAGGATTACAAGGCCCACAGGTATGTTGAATTATTCCCTAAATACTGGAAATAATGTGAAATTATTCTGATGGGAAGGCAAATAGCCTTGAATAAAAATCAGGAATGGAAAGGCTCTTAATCTGCACCTCTTCCTAGCATATTTTACATTTCTCATAATGGGGTGGGGTATGATTTTGTTCCATCAAACCATGTCAACACTTACAGCTCACTAATATGCCTTTCTAGAGGAAAGGTGTGCTCTTCTGATCACCTGGTATTGTATCTGAATGTCAGGAACACTGAATGATTCATATCATCATATTATATCAGTAATTAATATTAGCACCAGCAAACTGGTTTTCTATAACTGAGGTCCTGTACATAGACTCCCACAAGGAAAGTCAGTCAAGAGCCAGAAACTATTATTTAGTGTACCTAATGCTAAAATCACAGGGAACATCGTCTTTGTAATGCTATTTATAGAGATTTATAGGTCATTTGCATTTTTTTCATGGTCTTATCATCAATGATAAGGGACCAGAAGTTAGAGCAACTCTCCTGCTCTCTTCCATGCCAGAGCAAAGATGTGGTCACCCCCAGACAATGGTTTTATTGCACATAGATATTTAGTAACTATACAGAGCCCACACTATATGAAGCTCCCTTGAAGCCTGGACTTGCCCGAAGGGGTCTGTGTAGATGCACCTATTCTAAGACTTCCTGGAAACTCATTTTTCTTCTAGAATGTTCCAGATTATTAGTACTACACTGGAATTTGAGATTCTCTTGAATGGTTCTGAGGTCCTGAATAAAGCCATAAAGTCCCATGCTTTGTCAATTGAGTAATGATAGAAACAACCCAGGTCTGTTCACAGGCTTTGGTGGGCAGAAGTGAAGTAACAGTTACCTCAGACACTCCAGGCTCCTTTGGGTACATGGGCCTTGAATCAAAGCTTCTTTGGTCCATTTTTACTTCTTTTTGTAGGGGAAGGATAAGGGTCTTGTGCCCAGACATGGGATGCCTTAGTAAGGTCTGTACCCTGGGTGTGCTCCGCCCTCAGTTACTCAGCTAACGCAGGTGAACTTCAGGGTTGGAAAACTGTGCAGGGCTGGATCATGGCATTTCCTCTGGGCGTGGGGGGCTCAGAAGCACTAACCAAGAAAGGAAGTCCTTTGACATCATTGCCTTTTATTCTTTTCATTACCACTTAAGGGGCTGAATGGAAATCCTGGCAGGAAAGGAGAGCAAGGCAGCCAGGGGCAGAAAGGACCTCAGGTGAGTGACAGAGTGACATTAGGTTCAATGATTCTCAACCGTTACTTTCTCCTTACTGCAAAACACATTCAACTACAGTTTATTTGAGGTTATTGACACAGAAAGAATTCTTTTCTGCATTACTATGGGTCAGATCTTTAGCTTAGTCCACTGTCCCTTACCTAGCTGAAATTCTCCCTTTTCTCCACCACTGGGATTTTACTCTAAAGGCACAAACTCACTTCATCAGCTTAAAGAATGTTTAGAAGAAAACATGTGTGTTGAATCACAACCACTTGGGACATCACTCTCTTTGTAACTTGTAAAAATTATGTGTGCCTTGCACCCGTATCTATCTCTCTTGGTCACAGACACATGAGACTGACTGCCCACAGACCCGTTGCTACCCAACCCTTTTTGATTCCTAAGTCTATCTTTTGAGTTCATCATCTGAATCTGTTTCCTGAGTGAGTAGTGGGGGTTGGGATGGCGAGGGATTTGTGTGAAACATGTTCTGAATCTATTCAGTGCTTTGCTCACTTCAGAGGGCAGAGGATGCCTGGGTTTGCTCAGGGATCCTCCTCACGAGTGCATGCAGGACTCTTTCACCCATTTTTACATTGAGAGACTACACTGTAACCTGCATAGCCACACGGATGTGTCGGTGGTGCCATGTGCAAGCTGGCAGCAGCAGAATGCTTGGTTCTAATAGAATCAGCGCACTGTAGCAAGTTCCCCACATTCGGTAACAGCGGCAGGACGGCCCCATGTGGATGAGCGAGGGTCCGACAGGTGCAAGCCCGTGGTCTTTTAGCTAGAGCTTGAGCTGGAGTCACCAGACTCAGCCAGGGAACTCACTCCTCCGAGTGGCTGTAGCTCTTTCCTTAGGAGGCAGCAAGAGGCTATTGGGAAAGAGATGAAGAAAAGTGAAATATTTCCAGTGGATTTTCTAAGAATTGCTGTGGCACTTTCACTAATTAATTAGTTAATTAATGGTACTGGGTATGGAACTCAGGACTTTCACACAGAGCTACATCCCCAACCCTTTTTTAATATTTGGGTTTGAAACAGGATCTCACTAGGTTGCTAAGTTTCTCAGGCTGACCTTGAACTTGCAATCCTTTTGCCTCAGCCTCCAAGAGTGACGGCATCATAAATGTGGCCACCACACTGGCTGGCAGGATTAATTTTTTCATCAATCCCTTTTTTGTTTTTCAGGGTTCTTATGGGATAATGGGACCTAAAGGAAGCATCGGAAGACCTGGACCTTTGGGGAGAAAGGTAAATGTTGTTTTAAAATACTGAGATTGTAAGTACCTGTGTCTTCTCCTGATTTCATGCTAATTCCTCATATGAATGAATCCAAGCACCATCGACACACCATGAGCAGCATTCTTTCTTTCACTGAATAAATAATTTCTGCTTACCTTTCCAGAGAGTAAGTTACCCCCGTTTTCCTAGGAGCAGTGGTGATCTCACTCATCATGCAATTATGCTGACACATCTTTACCATTGCTCGATTACTAAATTCATAGATGTGCTTGGTAGCTGAATTGCGTAGGGCAGGAAATGAAGGAGCTCCAACTTGTCTTGTGTGCGCAGCTATCTGTCCAACTCAGCCCACCATGTCTGAGGTGGCTCTGTTGGATATTGTCAGGGAGCAAACTGTTGGTCCCATCAGAGTCTGACTGCCCTCTTAAACTCCTTTAAGGCCCAGATTTTGAGATCCTGGGGTCTGGACAGTTACAGGGGTCTTGCTGTGAGAGGCCTCTGCTTGGTTCAATTCTGTGCTGCCAAATCTTGAAACTCATAATCTCTGGGAAGAGGGTCTAAGTTTTCCTTTTACACTGAGCCCTCCAACCTACGTAGACGGGTTTTCTTTCCACCTTGGCCCTTGGGAAAGTCTTCAAACCATAAGCTAGTAGTAAGATCAATACGTTCTGGCAAGCTAATCTAGATGGCATGGTGACTATAGTTCATATGTTATTACACACTTTAAATTTTGCTAAGAGAGCAGGTCATAAACTTTCTTCCCATAAAGTGCACACACTAAAGAATGTTAAATTGAAGCAATAGGTATGTTAACTAACTTGGTAATTATGTCACAAGATGTGTATGTATCATATTGCATAATTTAACAAGTTCATTTGGGGGCTGTAAGTCATCTGTCTTTCTGCCGAGTGGGTCTAAATCACTGGTAATACTGTCCAGTGCTGTACATGCATGACTGTCCAAATAGGTGACTTGAGATAGTCTTAACTGGTGGAACAGGCCACCTGGTGGTATAAACCAGTGGAAACGTGTAAAACACACACAATTTTAGTCAGTTATATATCCATAAAGCTGAAGGGGTGGAGGTATAGCTTCCAGGCCCATTGCTGTCTGTACTGCTTAATTCTGTTTCTCAGCTTGTCCCCCCGACCCCTGGCCCCCAAGCTTGCCTCGCCTCTGCCATTGTCTCCCTCCACCTGGAGCAATTCACCTTCCCCTGGCTCACACAACAGCACTCTTTGGGCCTCAACTTCCCTGTTCCTTTCCTCTGTCACTGGCTGGCTTGGACCCTTGCTTTAGCAACGACAGAAATGAAAACTAAAGCAATAGTATGACTTTATAGGCAAAAGTTCTAAATAAAAAGTGAGAGAAAATAGGAAAAGCCTTCAGCCTTAGGAGCTGACAGATACCAAGCTGGGCCCTACAGAAAAGGAAGTAAAGGAAAAATAGGGAAATAACTCCTCCTTGGGTCGCTGGAGGGCCTACACTCTGATGAAGAGGATAAGACTGGCCAATTAATGAAGAAACAAGATCCATTTTATGGGGTTCCATGGTGGGCTAGGGTTCAGTCAATCATTATTTCAGTCCCGAGCTTGGGAGAAAGCCTCCTGACCTGAGGGACAGTTCAGTTCTCACGAGATAGATGCTACTGCTCTGCAGGAATCCAAGGTGACACTTTGTGTAGACCTCTGGGTGTAACTGAATGTCCCTATAAATTTCTAGTCCTAGTGTTCTCAGACTTGAAGGGCAATGCAGTGGGGTGGGGATAAATTTAGGGCTAATAAATCCCCTTTTGCCAAGCTTTTAGACAAGCATTCCCTAAATGAATAGTCTGCCTATCTGTAGAACTCAGAAGGATTAGACCCAGAATTTTTCAAAATGAAGATCAAGTTTTGTTCTATTTTTGGTTACTTATTGAGCATTTATAGGCCCAAGAGAAGAGTCATGATTTTTAGCAAAACCTGCATGTATTAGTCATTTTCTTATCGCACAGACCAAATACTTGGAAAATAGGTTTATTTGGCTTTCGGTTCAGTGAGCTCTGTCCACGGTTAAGTTGCTGTCAGGTAGGAATAGCATGGTAGATGAGAAGCATGGAAGAAAGCTGCTCACCCCATGGTGGCCGGAAGTGGAGAGAGAAAGAAGAAAGAGCCAGTGGCAAGAACACAGCCTTCTGGGCTTTGCCCCCAGTGGTCTGTCCCCAGCCAGACCCTACATTCCAACAGCATACTCAGGTATGAGCTTATCAATGGATTAATGCACTGATGAAGATAATGTCCCCATGATTTAAGAGCCTTCCAAAAGCCCTGCCTCTAAATACGCAAGGAACTGGACTATAAACCATAAAACTCTATTTCAGAAGAAAACACAAATTGTGCTTTTAATACTAAAGGACTTTGCCCTTTCTGTCGGGTTTGAAATGTCTCTCCAGTCTCACAGATCCGATTCTGACCCTGTCCCCTGCCTTTGCTTCCATAGCACTGCAAGCTTTATCACACACAACTTCCTACATGGTTGTTTGTTTTTCTAAACTAGGCTGTGCTTATGAGGGCAGGACCACATTTATCATGTTCAATAGTTTATTTTTCATGAAAATGATATAGGACAAATAAAACTCCCAGCCTGTTAGATGTCAAATGTGCCAAATGGTCTCACGTTGAGGAATGAAATTACAAACCAAAGGGAGAAGTTAGGGGAGTTTTATTGGGAATAAGGAGAAGAACAGTTCCTGTATTTAGGAGAGGGGATGTGTGTGGTTTAGCCATCGTTGCCCTTTATCAGGGGTAATTCACACAGCAAAATCACAATGTGAGCAAAACTACAATCAACCTCTAGTTACTATTATGGTTGCTTAGCTAATATTGATCAAATAGAGAAATTGAGTCATGTAGCAAGGATACATGGAAAGATCAAAAGAATTCTTGGAAAGGGAGGGGAGTATAGGTCTAGATATTCTGGTCACCCATCTGTGCATCTGATGCTTGTCTGAGCCCACGGGCCAGGTGGTGCTAATCACAGTCTAATCTCAAATTGGTGTTTTCTTACAGGCGTGGCTATCTGTCTTCAGATTCACCTTCAGCCACAATTCCGATGTTTGTATTATTTTGTGCTGACTGCCTTGAAGACTACACATAATTTCTCTCTAACTTAGCTGTCTATAAAAAATAAGCATTTTTTGGTTGGTCACATACATTAGCAGATGAATCAACTTTCCATGGAGTGGGATTTCTACTCTTTGCCTTCTCTGTTGATCCTTTTATAGCACTGGGAAAGCAGTACTTGAGTTCAGCCCTGGGCCATGCTCTCTTACTCTCTCCTTGGGGAGGTTCATTATGTGTGCCTTACATAGTGCCCCCTATTGAGGTGCTGAGCGCTCCCTGAGAACCTTTCGTTTCTCCACCTAGTGGACAGACTTCCTGCTGTGAGAACCAGGTTTGATTTTATCAGTCTGAAGCTCTTCTTACTTCATTTATCAGGGGGAACCTGGAGTTCCTGGAGTCCCTGGGCCAGTGGGGCCACCTGGACAGCGCGGAAAGCAGGTATGAGGTCGGGTACCCTTCCCTTCCCTCACTCTGAGTACTCAGCTCTGAGGTAAGAAGGAGTCTGACACCATCAATCCAAGCAACTAAGGCATGGAGGATTTTTCAGCAAATGGGAAGAGGTGAGGGCGTTTCTCTTATCCTCTAAGCTCTTACTCTGCAGCTGGTCTGCTAAAGAAAGAAAGATTAAATGGCTGAGGCAGAGATGAGGACGGATGGATTAGAGCAGGAATTTCAGTATTTGAATAGCCAGTTCAGTTCTGTTGGCCGAAAAACAAAACTGCCTATTTCTCTTCCTTTCTTGAAAATTTTGAGTAGGACCAGGAAATGGGGTGCTGCTTTTTCAGGGTACATTTTGTCCTAGTAGCTCTGACTGTACCACAATCTTCACCCTTAAAATGGCCAATAGAGAGGCAGATATTCCGTTCCTTTTAAAAATATATTTATCATAGGCACTATTATAAATACTGTAGAAAATGTACCAAGTGTAGGCATTATTAACAAGAGCCAAGACAGAAAACCCACCTACGTGTACAGCAATGGAGAAATGTGCCGTGAACCATGTAGCCAGTGCAGTCCTGAGGTGGGGAGGGGACAGGAAATTAAGAAAAAACTAGACATATACCAAAAGGACAGCTGGGAGCAGGTGGGTCCTGAGCTCTCTGATGGAGAGGCAGCAACAGCCCAGTATGGCCTGCATCTTTATTTATACACAGTAAAGAGTGGGAAAGCATGCAACAAAGTCGAAAGTATGACAAGGTCTCAGTGTTTATCTGAGCACACTGAAAGTGAAACATTCTCAGAGCTCTCTGAGCTGTGGTTCACAGGGAGGAGCGCCATGGCCAGACATCTGCTGGACTGGGCTTGCTCTAGTCCCAGGGAGTTCACTGACCTCCAGCGCAGCTATGGCTCAGCTGCCCCCACAAAATGGAGGGGGAAAGTGCGATACACTCTGCCTTAAGAAGAGGGCAATCCTGTTGTCTGTGACAATAAATGAACTTGTAGGACATTAAATGAATGAAAGAAGCCAGGAACAAGATGACTAACACTGGGCCACATAATCTCATTTACAAATGAAATGTCCACAGGTCAAGTTCAGAGAGCAGTCACGGCCACCAGAGGCTGGGAAGGGGTGTGAAACTTCAGAGAAGAGGAAATATTTCAAGAGCTCTAGTGTACATCATGGTTCCTATAGTTAATAACAATATAATGTAGTTTTTAAAAAAAGATAAAAGGCATCCAGGGAGAGAAAAGAGGAGAAGCTGATAAATAACTCCACAGAGCCAGGGACTTAGAAAGGCACAAGAGTGAGCTGCTTACCTGCCACGGCACTCACAGACAGGGCCTACGTAGAGGGTTCCAGGGTTCCCTCAGTGCAGCTTCTACCCACAAAATGTAGTTAAAGGCTTGCAACTACCTCACCATCTAAACAGTACCTACCTGTTTGTAATCTAATTTAAAACATGAGTACTCAAAAAAGGAAGGAAGAAAGGAGAGAGAGAGAGAGAGGGAGAGAGAGAGAGAGAGAGGAAGGAGAAACAAGAGCAGAAAAATAGGACTAAAATTTACCAAGTATAAAAAGTAGAAAAGGAAGATAAAAAGAAAAAATATTCCTAGTTGCACCATTTCAAGGTATTTATCACTAACATCTGATAGAGAGAGAGAAAGAGAGAGAGACTTAGCTCATTTTCCCTCTTAGCATTGTATCAGGAGTGTTTTTCCACTTACATTTCCCCCTCAAAGTCACTTTTAATAGTTTCAAAATATAGTACTGAATGCCTTAGTACTGGACCAGAGTCTTATCATTGGAGATTTAATTTGCTTTCAGTTTTTCACTGTTATAAGTAGCACAGAAATGAACATTCTTCTAGCCAACTAAAATTTTGGACAAAACTATAATTATTTTTTCCATGCTGAGGATTAAATCTATAGCCTTATTGATGGTAGGAAAGTGCTCTACCACTGAGCTGCATCCTCAGCCTGATAATAAAGAAATTTCATGGCTAAGTCAAAAAACATGTATATGTTTAATGAAGCTGGATTTTGATTGTGCCCTTAAGAAAATTCAAACAACATATGGATTCCTTTGTTATGCAGGAGAATGCCTGTTTTGGAACTTATTTCTTTTCTATGTTGAGGATACCAATAATGGGTATTAAAGCTTTCCCCTTGACACAGTGGTATCTCCTTATTGTTCCAAATTCCACTTTTTATGGGGGGCTACTTATGAGGAAGAACATTTCCTCCCATATATTTATTGGCTATAGTTCATCTTTAGGGGTCTCCTTATCATATTCTTTGGACCAGCTCCTACTTTTCTAGGAAAGAAACTACCACTGATTCTCCAAGTTTTGGATGGCATTCCTCTCTGCTCCCCACCATTGCTCCAGAGTGGATCTCACTGAAGGACCATGGCATCTGGTGATAAAGGGTTGAAACTTGTAGCAGCGTAATTTCTCTGCTAACCCAATCATGCCCATCGCATACAGGACAGTCCCGAGGCACTGTGCTAACACTGACTAAAAACATAAATATAAGATAAAATACACACAAGAGCCATACATTCCTCCCATGTGTGTAGATCTCCTAATCTAAACTGAAGGGGCTTCTTCGAGATCTGAACTTGAGATGCAGTACAGATGTTCCCAAAACCTAACAGGAACCAGGTGACCAGAAAAACTGTTCCTGAGATAGATTCACTGCCTAGAGTCCTTAAACCCTTGTAAAAACCCCAATCTTTCACTCTAATAACCAAATTCTTCTTTTGGAAACTTGCCTGCTGTGTTTCTTTACAGTGTACACTGATCTGAATAAACTCTTCATTTTCTGAACCTAGGAGAAATCTTTCACTACAAATACAAAAGGTCCTCTGTGTACTGTCTAGCATGGCAGGGGACATATCATGCAGTAACACCCATGTCCATAGTTCAAGGTCCCTGAGTAGGTCCTCTACACTTGGAATTCAATAGCTTTTCTCTCCCGATACCAACACTTCCTTTGTATAGATTACAATACATTTTCACTTTTAAGAAGTTGAAATTAATTGATATGTTTACAGGGAGATTATGGCACCCCAGGCTATGGTCATATGGGACATAAAGGAGTAAAGGTAAATATGGAAACCTTTTTTAAAATTGTAAATCAAACCTAAATAATATCATCATAATGACACAGCATGTTGATTAATCTATGTAATCTTATGAAAATTATAGGGTCCAAGAGGATTCCCTGGAGATATGGGGCAGAAGGTATTGTACACATGAACTTCTTTTTTCTTTACCATGATCTTAACTTCTATCTGAAGAACTGCAAACATCCTGAGGCTCTGAATAGAGTAGGAAAGGGATGGGAAGGGATCAGGACAGTTTCTTTCTGGGCTTCATGAGCAGGGGACACACACTCCTGTGAATTTTCAGATTGGAAAATATTGTCCTGTCTTTCACTGCCTGCTGTCCCACACCACGATGTCCTTCCTACCTTTAAATGCCCTCTCCACTTGGTCTATTGTTTTTTTCTTAGTTGCTTTTTGTTCTGTATTATTGTGATTAATTTCTTCTTACCTGAAAGACTACAAAAAGTTTCTCATTGGTCTTCCAATTCTATTTTACCCCTCCTCCAGTCAATCCCAAAGACTACTATTACCAGATTTTCCCAAAGCAGAGATTCAGCATGCTGTGTTCTTGATTGAACATCTTCCACGATGGCTCATTCCTGCCAGACTGAAATCCATTTCCATGCTGTCGAACTGGACACACCTTCTATTTCCACTAAAGTGGCTCACAGTGTATCTGTATACACTGGGATTCTTCTTAAAATTTCCTTTTCAAAAAAAGTGTCTAGAATGGTGTCTTCCACACAGTTGGTGCTCAAATAAACATGCAAAATATGAGTTAAAAAATAGAATGCTTCATTAATCTAATCAGCTATAGGAGAATAGCCAAAGTTTTGAAAACTTCTAGGCATGTTTCAACTGATGAAGTAGCAATAGAGATTCTTTCTTTAGACAGAAAAAGGAACAAGAAGGTGCAATATGCAAACCATTAGGCAGGATAAGAATTCTGATAATAGAGGGTCAATTTCTAATTTACTGATAAATACAGAAACTTAGTGTATTTCAATTTACCGATAAATGTAAAATAAGTATATTGATAAATAATTGTCAAAATTAGTTTCCCACCAGAGTTAGAGTAAATTTTTTTATCTTCAGCTTTTTCAGAAGTGATTCATGAATTTCGGAAGTAATTCAGTATTTAGCATTCTACTAGTCAACACTCCATGTTTTTCTTGGTTTTTAAACATTTTCTTTGGATGTTTTTAGTAAATGAGCAGTCACTGAATTGATATTAATGTGTAAATCTTTGCTTTATTAAAATGTCATAAACAGTTTAGAGAGTAAGTGTACCAATGATTTAGTTCCAGGTGACAGGGCAAGATGTCATTTAATGTTCTATTGGCTTTCTTTAATATAAAATATAATTACGTCAACTCAGGTTTGTTTCAGAAAAAATTTCTTATCTTTTATAGCATACATTTTAACATTTGAAATCTTCAGGGTGAAGCTGGTAATCCTGGAATTCCTGGGGAGATTGGACCCAAAGGATTTAGGGGGCTGACTGTAAGTGGTCTGTAATTACAGGCATAATAAATGTTCCTTCTGCTGACTCTGGCTTTCATGTTGTAATAATGAAAGTGAATTATTGATCCATCTTCAAGGACATCCAAAATGCCACTAGCTAGCTATATGACTGTTAACACACCTTTTTTTTAGGGTCCGTATTTCTGTAACATAAGAATTGAATTTAGTGACATCTAAGGTCACCTTCAGCTCTAAAAATCTATCGTTTCATAAATCTGAGCTATTTTAAAGGTTTACAAATTGATGCCCAGATGTTTTGGATGTATCCATGTCTCCCAAGTGTAAGGCATGTGTAATTCCCTGTGAGTGGAAATGGAGTTGAACGTGTCCCTCTGTATCCAGGAAGGCTTTCTGTGATTCCACTGTCCATAAGAAAGTCATAGGAGACATTCATTTTAAGGAAAAATGTTGAAATCTTCTAATTAGCAAAGCACAGAACAGAATTCTACGCTTATTTAAGTTCCAAATGCAGAATCAAGCACCCTTTCATTCTAAAGTTTGACTGCAATATCAGTGGTCATCCTTCCTGTAAAAGAGATACAATTCCTGTAAAAGAGATACAATTCGACAGACATTTCCCACAGCTTTCCCTAGCATCTACAGCCCTCACTTTGAAATACAGAACTGACACAGCCCATTTGTGTACTATTATATATGTGAGGACTCATTTTGCTTATTTTATGATTTACAGATGAGAGATTTTTTAATTAAATCTTGTGGACTCTAGTATATTTGCTTTTCATATTAGTACCAATCCCAGTTTATGACTAATTTGGATCTAAATACACTGCCAGTGCCAGAGCCAACATGTCATGTAATGAAAGGGTTAGGAGGGAAGTGGATAGTTTAGAGATGGCTTATACTACAGGTAAGCAATTTACCTGAGTTGAATTAATAGTTGCTGTCAATTAAAAACAAATTTTAAAAAATTATAGTCTCATCAAAATTGAAATAATCTTTTAAAAATTTATTTTTTACTTATTTTTTGATAATATTCATTGATAGATATTATTGAAACTAATGTATGTTCCTATCTGCATGCAGCGCACTATAGGCTTGAAAGGTGAAAGGGGCGGTCGTGGATCTCAAGGTCCTCCTGGGCGGAGAGTGAGTAAATTCCTGGGAATTACATAATGTGCATGCTGGTTTCATGGGAACTGTGTGGAATTTAAAGTCAGAAGTTCAGATTCTGCTTCTTCCTAGCTTTTATCCTTGGGGCAGCCGTTGGATCTCTGTTTCTAAACTGAGTGTGACATGTATTGTCCTAATCATCTTAAGAGGTAGCTATGAGGGGTAGGTTATCCAATACAAATAATCTACGAACTACAAATTGCAGTGCTAGTGTTTGGTCTTCTTATGATTTATTACCAAAGCCTTTGATGAAGGAATGGGATTGCATAAGCTCCACAGAGTTGTCCTGGAAGAGTTCCATTGTGTGAGGCAGATTGCCAAAGCATTATGTTGCCATCTGATCTCCAGAATTTTGTCTCTAGAGAGATCAGGGATCTAGCCACAACTTTCCATTCTGATTCTATTATGAAAGAAATGTAACCTCTGGAAGTATTCTCAAGCAGAGTAAGCATCTCTCCTACAAAATATCCTTACCTCTTGTTAGTGTCTCATGAGATTGAAATGATTTTGTGATATGTCTGTCTCCCCTCCACAAGCACAGCCCAGGGATAACCAAATGTCATCAAGACCTATGTTTTTTGGAGGGGGCACAGATAGCATTGTGTAAGGAGAGGATAAGCTCATTATCTTGTTTTATGCCTTGAAAAGTTCTTGAATTTAGGACTTTATAGAGGAAAAATGTGAATTGTTTTGTTGTCAACTGAATCCTTATTAGAAAGAAAATCAACTAGTGTAGGGGAAATTTGATATGATCTTTTCTTTCTTTTGCAATGTAGGTAGATATTTAATCTCTAGGGCAAGCTGGTCTTCTGGCTTTTTCTTCTTGCCAGATTCTGGGCTGTCATTTGGGGATCCCATAATTTTCTGCTCTTATGCTCTAACCCACTGGACTGCATTGGAATGTGGCATCTTTATTTCAGGCCCTTGATTCTCAGACTTTTCTTGAGAACTTGCTCAGAGTTATTCTTAAACTTTTTCTTTTGAACTATACTCTCCACAGTCCCGTAAACTGTGGGCTGCTTACTGTATCAGTTAGAAATCACTCTTGATTCTGCTTAAAAGGCAATGCATCCTTTTTTGCCATAACTTGAAAAAAAAAGGCTAAGATTGTAACCTTTTAGTGATATGGATCAGAAAAACATGTTTCAGTGAGTAGGATCACAGACATCACAGGGTTCTGGTTAGCATCAGCCACACAGATGACATTTAACTGTTTAGTAGATGGATGAATTGATGGATGGAAGGATGGACAGGTGACCCAATGATCACTTAGAATAGAGGTTCTTATCTGATATCCCTGGCTGAACTTCTGAAGAGGTGTAGGGGATTGTCAATAAAATTACACAAGTGTAGCCCTATAATAACTCTTCCAAAATGATAATATTAGCATTCATTAGTTGTCCAAAAGGATGCATGTGTGAAAATATGTTGAGATCCACTACCTGATTCTGATAAAAGGATGCAAGAAGATTTAAAAGACAAGCATTCAAGCTGCTGAGAAGCACCACTGACTTCTTTCAAGAAGCGTTCCCTGATTTACCTACCCAATTGGTTGTATTTCTTTCCTCTATAACTTCTTGGTACTTATACGTGTAACATGGATGCACTTCTTTTTAGTCATATCCATGTTGCTATCAGCAGTCCATGGTTGTTTCATGTGTTGAGATTATCATCTCCATAATTTTAGAGTCCCTGACATAATATAACTGCACCTCTGAATTCTCAGTAAAATTCCTCTCTCCTCAGGACTGCTTTTTGGAAAGTCTACTGTTTACAATTTTAAGCTTTCTTATTAGAAATACTTTCTTCTAAGTAGTGTATATTTAATACAAATGTCTGTAAGAAATACTCTTATTAATTTACTTCTTTCCATACTAGGGAGAAAAATCATTCAGTTCACTTGGATGAACATTAATTTACCTGATCTATTGCTTGGTTTGCTCACTTGGTGTGAATGACAGAGGTGTATTGTAATTAACCCACTAGAGTTAATGACAACGCCCTGCCAGCTGAGCTTTTAAGAAAGAAGGTGGTTTTCTTTGTTTCTCTTATTTTATAACTGAAGACCTCAGCTTACAAACAAATTGTTTTGTTTTTGTTTCCCTAGGGTCCTAAAGGCATGGCAGGAGAGCCTGTATTTTCTGTATGTATCTCCTTATTCATAAAAAAAAACCCAACCCCTTCACTGGGAAATAAGATACAACTCCTGGGAGAGCACTGTATTCATACACCCTCTCCCCTCCCCATCCTCCCATTCTTTTTCCATTTACAGCAATGTGACCTGATCCAGTTTGTGCGGAAACATTCTTGTGAGTATCCATGTGTCATGGAGCAAGAGCATTGGTGGTTGGGGAAGGACTGCATGTAGATGGATCTTGGCCAAGGCCAAGGCCAAGGTCACTAGTTGTAGAAGCTTCTCTAACAGGACTATCTTGAGTGCCTACTGTAGTGACCTCTCACATCAAAAGTGGGAGGAAGAAAAGGTTAAATAGGAGTTCCTCAGCTCAAGACGGGACTGTATGCAGGAAGAGAAAATATGTGTGTGGGAAACCAGCAGACCACTTCAAAAGGTGTATAAACCAGCTTGTATTATTAATATGATAACTGTGCAAAAGAAGTGAGGAGGCACGATATTAAATGGGCAAACGCGGGTGCTTAGGATTAGTTAGTATTACTTAGATGCCGAAGTCACTCAAGAGTTGGTGGTCCTTCAAACCAAGGAAGATGAGTTTCCCAAAGCTATGAAGTTAGGGAGTCAGAAAGTCAAGAGGCAAACCCAGGAAGCTGTCTTGGTAAAAAGAGTGAGGCCAAGAGATAGAAGAATAGTACTGCAGAGATGGGAAAGCCTGCAACATATGGGCAGCTTCCAAGGTGGGAAGAGGGAAGTCAATGGAGAGAAGATCCAAAGGGCGGGGAGGTGTGAGCACTACCAGCCAAGGGTAGGAGGTGAGAGCCTGGCTCCAAGACCACAGGGAGAAAATAAAGGTAGAACTCTGGTGGGGAGAGTGGTGGTCAGACTCCTCAGAGAGTTGGCGGTCTTCTTGGTGAAATCAAATTGTGATTTCCCAAGGATGAGGTAGGTGGAGACCAGTCATTAGAGAGTTTGGGCTTTGAAGGGAAAAGTTTTCCAACACTGAGTCAAATGAATTAGCTGGTAGTCAGAGGACTGAAGAAGGATGGGTGGATTCTATCAGCATGCAATGTTGTTGGTTAGACTGGCATGGAACTCCACAGTACAGAATAGGGTGTCAGGCCTTTGTGGTTCTATAGATGGTGTCACCGAGGTCCTTGAGGTTGGATCTCTGGTATAACACTCCATGCTCTCCACTCCTGCAGCAATCTCTTGCCCAGGGAGGAGGGCTGAGTCCTGAGCTGGTGGCTGGGACCATCTTTTGTGAATAAATAGATCTAGGAATCTAGGGGAACAGAAAGAGAAAGGGAGAGGGTTGGAAATAACAAAAGAGAGGCTAAAGCATCATTTAAAGGGAAACACAGAAATAGAATATTTTTAGGAAATCTAAATAAAAGAAACATAGTAGAAGAAATGAAACTTAGCTTTGATAGATCTGAACCCACATGTTCGTCTAGCCCCTGAGTGTGGCCTCACAGTTGCACCTGAGGTTCTCAGTCAGCTGCATGAGACCTGGGCTGAGTGCTGAGATGCACAGGATGCTGTGGGGTATACGTGGTGCCTGCTGACTGTCAGCGTGTCAGGAGCCAGAGGAGATGCAGATGTGAGCTGTTAGTACAGCTCCTGTGCGGGAAACATGTGCCAGGACAGCAGAACGGAAGAACACTTTGTCACTGAAGCTAATAACCCTTTTATTAGATGGAATGACTCACTCGCTTCCTAGGAAGTGAATAAATTAAACATGGAAATTGTTAGGGCTGTGGTTTCTTAAAAGATTTACTAACACTTGCCCCGATGCATCTCAGGTTTATAGAGTAAATCAGTCAGAGAGACCAGATGTGTTTTGCTTGGTGAAATCCTTGGAATTTTTTTTTTTTATTATTCTTTCTGGGTGTGAAGATCACTTCAACAGAAGAGGTATATTTTTAACCAGAGACAAAAGTTCATTTAAAAATACTCCTGTGGTTCTACAGGAAAATAGAGATTCCCAAGGTATTCATCAGAGAGGAAAACATGATCCATATTTTAGCACTGTGTTGCTGACTGATTCTCAGAAGACGGTGAGGAGAGAGACAAAACAAATTGCATTTCAGCCATCTCACCATTTAACCCGAGCCCCAGCTGTTGTGCTTCTAAGACAAGCAATCAGTGTTTCAGTTTCAACCAAAATTCTGCTGAAGTCTGCTGACCGTGGCTCAAGGGGAAAAGGGCAGGAAGGTTCACAAATTAATAGAACTCTGTAGGTATCCTTTTCAACTCTCTAACCTCATTTTCAATTACAGTCAAGTAAAACAGGCTTTGTTGAAATATTGCATTTTGGATATTTTTTGTTTGTATTCCAAAAATGTAACAGACTCTTCTCTCTTTTTCTCTTTTGTGCAGCTTGTTGGAAAGGTGAGTGCTCTTACCATATTGATTCTTGCTGAAATAATGACCGTGTTTTGATCAGACTAATTTGAACAAAACCTCTAGCCCATGTGAAAGAGGGCCTCTTTCTTGCATGCAGATGTGTAAGTCTTTTGACTGTAACTAGGATGATTCTGCACATTATGGTCCTTTCTGAATCCTGTCACAGTTTTCAACTTAGTCTCTTCACAGAGCAGGTCCTACATTGCTGGAGGACAAGGGAACAGGGCTCTGACTGATCTGTATCACTGTAATTTCCTTTTATTAATTTTTCAAATGTACATTCAATAAAACTGTCACTTTCTGGGCATGTGCTTGGTTGTAACATATACGTAGATTCCTGTAACTACCACCCCATTACAACATAGAGCAGTTCCTAGAATTTCCCTACTATCCTTATAAATAGACTGATAGCAGGCTCTGAAGTTTGCATAATGTATAGTCAAATAATGTACAACATATATAACACCTTCAAGTTTACAAAGAGATCAGTTTCCTTCTTTTGTATGTGAATACGCTACGTCTGGAGCTGGATGAAGACCTTGCTTCACCTTTTGTGAACCAAAGCTATGCGAAAGGCTTTGATCCAATGAAATCTAATTAACACTTCTGCTTGTCATTTTCATAGAAAAGTGTCCAGTATACCCGACAGAGCTGGTTTTTGCCTTGGATCAATCCTCTGGTGTCACTGAATGGAGATTTAATGAAATGAGGGAAATCATTACTTCCATTGTCAAGGACCTTAACGTCAGGGAAAATAACTGTCCTGTGGGAGCAAGAGTTGTGGTGGTTTCCTACGACTCGGACACCAGCTATCTCATCCGTTCATCTGATTACCGTAGCAAGAAGCAGCTCCTCCAGCTTCTTTCCCAAATAAAATACCAAGTCCCCACGAGGGCCCGAGACATTGGTAATGCACTGAGGTTTGTGGCCCGCAATGTTTTCAAGCGGATGGATGCAGGAGCCAATGTGAGGAGAGTCGCTGTGTTTTTTAGCAATGGTCAGTCAGCCAGCAGGTCATCCATTCTCACGGCCACCATGGAGTTTAGTGCCCTGGATATCAGTCCAGCAGTTTTTGCTTTTAATGAAAGAGATTTCCTTGATCAGGCTTTTGGGGTAAGAACTTTCTCTATTTTTAGGATTTTGATATTGGTATGTTGGAGTGGGAGTGGTGGGGAGCCAAAGAAACATGTGGTTTCTTGATCTTTTTGTGGTTTTTGCAGTTGTGTTGTTGTTGGTGTCCATGAAATGCAGTACTTAATGATAACAACAGCCCACATCCATCGCAGCCTGGTCTGCTCAGTTCCTGCTCCATGCCAGGCACTGGCCCTAGAACTTTATCTGCGTACACACCTGTTCCCACCTGTTCTCACAGTGCTCTGAAATTCACAGAGCTGTCATCTCCATAGTAAAAATAAGACAGCAGAAGTCCAGAATGTTCTCACAATTGATCTTCAATATCATTACTACCTAGCTAACTCAATTTCAGATTCAGGCCAGGTGTGGTAGTACAGGCCTATAATCATAGCACTTTGGGAAGCTGATGCAGGAGTATCCCAACATGGAGCCCAGCCGGCTCCACTTAGTGAGAATCTGCCTCAGAATAAAAAAATTAAAAAAGAAATGGAGATGTAAGCTAGCGTGAAGGCTCTGGGTTTAATCCCTGGCACAGAGACAGGAATATGGTGCTGTCAATTCCTCTGTTGGTCTGGTGTTTCTTGAATCTTTCATATGCTCACTATATCTCATCTTAACCTATGATGTATATGTTTTCCCCCAAAGCATTGGTTAACTTTGGATCCACAGATTCTGATGAGATCTGTTCTCATCTCCCCCTGCTTTCTCTCTCTTTAAAACAAACATGGTGAGTCTAGAGCCCCAGGATCCAATTCCTCCCTAAATGCCCACCTCTGAATGCATGAGAGTTTGGGAGCACACTGTGGATCTAAACCATAACAGGACTATAGCAGGTCAAGGTTCTATGGGCTTCAGTCTTCCTTTTCTAGGTTTTTCTGCCATAGCTGGTATGCTAGAATATAATCAGAAGCATGTAAAAATTCAGCCCAGAACTGAAAGCATGGAAATGAAACATTTTAATACTTGTTCCAGAGAGTGAGTAAGTCTGAGTCTGGTCAGGTTGTCTATCTTATGACATTTTTCTCATCATAAAATACAGATACTGATAACTGTTCTTTGCATACAATTTTGGATTATAAAGGAAAAGAGAGTGTGTGTGTGTGTTGTGTGTGACAGATAAATAGATAGATAGATAGATGGATAAACAGTAGTTACTCAATCTAATCCCTATGGTGAGTGCATTATCACTTCCTCACAATCATGAAAAATAGACAAAAAGGCATTTACTTCTCTTCCCATGCAGTTTGACAACACTGGAATGTTTCAGGTGATTCCAATGCCTCCAGATGGGGAAGACGAACATTTAGAAAGACTGCGGCGCTGTACACTTTGCTATGGTAAGATCAATGAGTAGAATTTATTGTACTGAAGGCTCTCATGCCTTGGGTGGATTACTGAATCTGGCTTTATCAGAAACTTCAATTTTTGACTGTAGGTTCGGTTTTCAATTTTATAGTCTTAGAAAATGCCAGATGGCATCAATTCAATCTGTCTAATATTTGGTGTTTCCACAGAGGTGAAAATTGGTTTAGAAACCTATCCTGACTATGGAGGCTTTCCAGAGACAACGTGGTAGTTAATATTAAAAGCCTCTAAAACATTGAAAATACTTTCTAAATGAGTTTGGATGTCAGGTATATTTGCTACCTAACTCTTCAACTTCCCAAATTGTCTGCTAGTGATCATAAAAACTTTTAGAGCATTGAAATTCTTCATAGATTTAAATGATGTACAAGTGAGGAAATATTGATTACATTGCTAATTCTTAATAATTAGCCACTGAATCACTTAAAATAGATTCCACATAAGTCTCTTGTGCCAACATTGAACCAAAATGCATCTCTCTGTGCTTTCAGATAAATGCTTTCCAAATACTTGTGCAGAAGAGATTTTCTTACCTGAAGATTCATACATGGACGTAGCCTTCCTTTTAGATAATTCTCAATATATAGCAAATGACGATTTTAAGGCCCTGAAAAACTTTCTGAGCTCAGTAATTGATAATTTTGACATTGCTTCAAACCCTTTCATCTCAGAGTCTGGTGATAGGATTGCTTTACTGAGCTATTCTCCTTGGGATAGAAGAAAGAAGGGTACGGTAAAAACAGAGTTTAACTTTACAACTTTTGACAACCAAGTACTAATGAAGAACCACATCCAGACTTCCCTCCAGCAGCTGACCGGAGATGCCACCATTGGTCATGCCCTTCTCTGGACTATAGAACATCTCTTCCCAGAAACACCCAGCCTAAGAAAACACAAAGTCATCTTTGTGGTCTCAGCCGGAGAAAATCATGAGACAAAGGAGTTTGTGAAGAAGGTGTTTCTGAGGGCCAAGTGTGAAGGCTATGTCATATTTGTGATTTCCCTGGGTTCTGATGACATGGAGGACTTAGCCAGTTATCCACTTGATCACCATCTGATACAGCTTGGGAGAATGCACAAGCCAGATCTGAGTTATATTGTGAAGTTCCTAAAGCCATTCATATACTCAGTCAGACGTAAGTCATTGTTTTTATTTGAATAAACTAGTATTTGTTAATAGAATTGAAAACCTAGCGTGCATATGTGTTGTGGCTACAGACAATCAAAATATATGAATTGGATGATGAGAGGGAGGGGTAGGGATGGAACATATCCTGGTTACATCCTGTTTATACCTTGGTTATAAAATGGTGATACCTTTTCCATGGTAGAATGTCTCTGGACCAAAATCTGAGCAATGGGAAGTTCAAAGTGACTACAGTTCTCCTGAGTCATGTTTGTGGAGCCTGAAGTTCTAGCAGCCCTGAGATGGTCTCTGGTGTAAACATTTAAAGTTTTACCAGCTATGACAGTTACTTCCAACTTTGGTGTACCCTGGAGAGCTGTGCAAATATGAGCAGATGGTACAGTCATGTGCTTTTCTGCCACAACAGGCAGGTTCTGATTCCATGGTGTAGGGTGGAACCTGAGATTGCACATCATAGCTGTCCGAGTGATGTCAGTGCTGCTGGCTCATGGACTACACTTGGAGGAGCATGGCTGTTGGCCAATGCAGTACAAAGCATTTCCCATTGAATGCATACAAGTCACAACTTGATCTGTGTAGAAAAATACAAAACTCAGAGTAACCATCTAAAAAGCTTCACTGACTGCTGCAGCATACAAATGCATGGTCAGTGGGCTCTGTCCAGTTGGGAAGGACATACAGTTAAAGTAGCAGCCTCCTAGAGTTAGCAGTAAAAGTATCCTGTCCTCTACCACAAATGTTTTGAGAAAGCACTGTTCTAGAGAAATGCTTCTTAGCGAGGGGTGTGGAGTGATTTTGTCTCAAGGGACATTTGGAGATATCTGGCAACAGTTTTTGGCTATCACATCTTGGAAATGTTTCTAGCAAGTAGGTAGTGGCTAGGGTTACTGCTAAACATCCTACAATTGATAAGATCAACTCTTATCCCAACAAAAAATAACTTAGCCCCAAGTCTTTTGCTATTTTTTTATTTAAAGAAAGATTAAACAAAACAGAAAATATTTAGAAATAGTACATACATTCAGAGAAAAAAAAGTAAGAAATCACTAGATGTTGTCATTTTACAAATAGTTGTTCAGGGTACAAAATGGATCATGTAAAGTGGGAATTCAAACAGAGAGACTCCAAAAAGTTCTAATCAACTGTCCAACAAAAACTTAGTAACATGGTTGTCAATCCTATACATTTAAACATACATGTAGTTATCCATATCTTCATTTATGTTTAGATTAAACAAACTAAAGCAGGTTAAAATCATTTTGAACAAAGAATAATAGTATTGCTGGATTTCACTTCGTGACACTCCGTGATCAGCACTGGGTACTGTAGTGTCTTCTTTTTAAAACTGAATTTAAAGAAAGACTAAAAAACAGAAAATGGGTAGTAATAATACATACTTTCAAAGAAAAATAAGCAGTAAGAAATCACTAGTTGATGATTACAGATTGTCTTCTTACAAATAGTTATTCAAGATACTAAATTAGAGCATATAAAGTGGGGATTCAAACAGTGAGACTGCAACCAGTTCTGTTCAACTATCCAACAAAAACTTAGAAATATGGTTATCAATCCTCTACACTTAAACATATATGCAGTTACCCATATCTTCAATTATGTTGACTTTCAATAAACCCAAGCAGGCTAATATCACTCTGAACAAAAAATAACACTGTTGCTGGGTTTCACATTATGACACTCCAGGATCAGCACTGGGTATTTTAGTGTCTCCTTTTCTTTAAAGTATCTGTTCATTTCATCAGTTGTCATAAGATCAGTTCTCATAAACTGTTCATAGATTCTACACATGCATGGGTCTTAACATGTATTTTTTTTAATTTTGAAAGTATCAATTGTGCAATAGCGTAAGACCGAACAAAGCCAATTGAGACAATGCTGTGAAATTGGTACAGGATTTCACAGTAGGATACTGGGATAGTAGTACTAAGTACTACGGTATATCTCTTTAATTTAACAATAGCTATCCAGTCAATTACGTATTGTTAAATCAAACCAAAAATAGAACACTGTAAAACGAATTGAGAATACTGAATAGAGCAAAAGAAATATAACAAAAAGTGAAAACAACCTATGCCTTCAAACAGAAGATAGAAGGAAATCCCCCATATTTGCTATACTGCTTACGGTCATCCTCCCAAGAGATGTTGAAATATCTATCCCCAATAGGTAAGGGGGAAGGGGGAAGTTGGAAGAAGGGTGCTTGATTTTCAGCTCTCATGGAAGTTGGCTCACAGGTAATGGTTCTCCTCCAGGCCCAAACTGCAGTTGCTTATCAAGAGGGCAGGTGAATAAGCTGCCCGAATCCCTCCATGGCTGGAACTCTGGAGCTCTGTTCTCCCAGCCCCAACTCTTGATGGCCTCATGGTTGAGAAACTCTTTATATTAGTCTGTTTCTCATTACTATAATGAAATACCTGAGACAATTAACTTATAAAGACAAAAGATTTCTTTTGGCTCATAGTTCTAGAGGTTCCAGTCCAAGATCAGGTGCCCTCATGCTTTGGCCCTCTGGTGAGGGTGACACACCATCATAGGAGTGTGGGGGGAAACAACCTTGCTTATATCACAAGCATGGAATCAGGGGAGATGCAAAGGGATTAGAGTCTCACAATCCACTTCAAGAGCAAACACCCCAGAGACCTAAAGACCTTCTGAAAGATTGCCTCCTAAAGATTCATGATGCCTGCTGATAACCTCACCCTGAGGATCAAACCTTTAACCTATAAACCTTTGGGGGAACAGTCATCTAAACCAAAGCACCATCCTCTTGAGATCCCAAGAATGGGGGTGGAACATGTTCTTTCTGGAAATATCTCAGGTTGAGAGACAGATTCTGCTGGAACAATTCAAGCACCCTACACTCTCAGGTTCTTTGATAGTCAGATGTTCCAGCAACCTTGAAGTGATAGTGTCTTAAGAATACACCTTTCTTGCAAGAAGAGCTCCAACTTTCTCTTGTGAGTCAGATTCAGTTGTGGAATCCAATGACTGCCCTCTTGAGACTGCAATATTGTTTCCTTAAACCTAAGATGTTCTTGATTATATCATGTAAAAAGGAAGAAAAAGTGCTTCTGATTAAATTCTGGGGTCAACTCTTCTATTAGAGTTTTTTATTTTATAGTAATTAAAAGTTCTTTTAGATGTATATCAACGCTATGTTCCATAAGAAGGAAATACGTGTGAAATTGGCTGGTTATGGCATTCCTAAAACTTCTTATTCATAATTTGGCTCTTGTGAGAATCAAAAACTCAAAATGCAGAATTTTTAGTTCTTGACTTGGAGTCATTGATCTACAGTTCTTGTGCCACCAAGATTGATGGTAATGTAGCATTCTGAAAAGATTTTAAAATAGTTCAAAGCTGATCACACTGGGTTCTTAAGTAGCTTTCAGTTATACAGAGCTGACTCACTTTTGACTGCTTTCTGAGCAACACTGCTAAACACATCTAATTTGCTGTCTTCCCAGAGTCACTTCATTTGTAGTAATTACGCTCTATTCCTAGATTTTCCCCTAAAGTGCAGGCCCCAATTCTATGCCTTTTTGATGCTGGCATTTTTGCTGTTCCACATGCACAAGGAATGACAAGATCGCAGTTCCTGCCAGACCAACCAGAAGTGCAGCTACACGTGATCACAAACCATGTCCTCATTTTAGACAAAGAAAGAAAAAGTGCTCATTTTAGAATCAAAAAACGGTGATTCTTATAAAATTACAGACATTCTCTGAGATATTTTCCTGGAGTCTTCTATTGTTCAATGACCAAAGGTTTCCTTTAATTAAAAACAACTTATTTTCCTGAATGAGGGAAAATTATAAATGTATCAATAGTCTACAACTTATAGAACATTAGGGAAAGCATAAAAGAACATATCATTAGATCAGGATGCTAACATCTTTTCTGTGGTTTTTTTCTTCACAGAAAAGCATGTAAATTGATGCAGAAATCCTGAAATAGCTTCATGTAATAAAAAATGTTATATTTTCTATGTCTATGTAATAGTATAATTCTGAGTGCAAAAACTTTAGAGAACCTGGATCAAATGTCTGTTAGTTTGTATTAGTCTACGAATGCATCACAACTAACCCTTAGATGAACAACCTGAGATATTTTCTCATGGCTCCCAGAATTCCTTGGTTGCTAAAACACTCTGAAATCAAATTCTGAATGCTCTATCTAGTTTTCACTGTTTTCTAGTTTCACTGTGGCCAGATTGTGTTGAAATATGTCAGTAACATTTATTGCTTCACGAGGATTCCTGTTGGAATTCTCCTGACCTGGTGAACAGTTTCTAGTTTTAAAGTCTAACCCTACCTTGTTTTCTCAACAGGAGGATTCAGTCAGTACCCACCGCCCATACTGGAGGAGGCCTGCAGGTTCGTTGATGTAGAAGAGGATCAGACCAGCGGCATAGAGTGAGTTAAGCAGCCGTTATAATTACAGCTCACTGCCAGCTGTCGCGTGTAGAACTGTCCCATGGCAGCTGGGGATGTTAACAGTTGAAGTCAAGTCTCTTTGCATATACTATTTTCTGTAGCAACAGCTACATTTTAAGCATGCTTTCTAGTTTGAGGTTTTTATAACATCGTGAGCTGGCCTTTAAATTCATGGTTTCCTGAGGAATCTTTGTACTGAAATATCCTCCGAATGGAGCCCACACTTTATCATTCCCTATCTCAAGCTCATGTCCCAATTCTCTCCACTTTGAAGCTCTGGGTTCTGGTTGCAGTACTGCCTGCCTTGAGTGAACTATGCCTTTAAACACACACACACACACACACACACACACACACACACACACACACACACACACACACACCTCTATCCACTGCCTGTGATGACCCAGTTCCTTCCAGTAAAATCCTACCCACTTTTCCTGGCCCATATTGAAGCTGTGTCTTCTTTGAAGCCCAGCTGTCTTCCAAGGCAAAATCCACCCTCTTCTTTGCACCATTTTATGCCTCTGTAATGGCATGATGCGAGTTTATGCTGGTATCTGTTCTCAATGAACTCTGGGGCTGCATATGATTGTTTCACCCTCTAAAAATTGCATTCAAGACCTCACATTATAATTGCACATGTACAATTTAATTTTCTCAGTACTGTATTACATCTAAATAAAAATGTAATAATTAACCTTAAGTAGGGGGAGAGTGACCCATCTTGGTACTTCTCTGAAACTGGGTTCCCGACTGAGCCTTGTGAAAGATTTGGATTCCTCCAGTACTTGTGACACTAAAATTAGATTTCATTTCCTTGGGACTTTAGCAGGGAAGTGCCTCGAAGCCACCTTCTAAAGGAAAATGTAGCACTAATGTTATATGGAGCAGGGTTTCCCAATCTTGAGTAAGCCATTAAACTATTTAAAGAAAAATAGGTGCTCACAGGACTGCAGGCAAAATACTTTATTCTTTGTTGTGGTTTTGCTTTGTTTTTGCACTGCTGGGATCAAGCCTAGGAGTTGGTACACTCTAGGCAAGTACTTCACCACTGAGCTACATTCCCAGTTCTATTATGTTATTTTAAAATGCACAAATATAAAATCCATCTGGAAATACCGTATGTTTATATTTCTTATGCAGCTATTAAAAAAAAGGAAATTCATATATCCTCAAATCCAAACCAAATGAATAAGACAAACATTTTCAACACTAATTTCATGTAATGTATAATTCTTCTTTGCCAAAATGGAATTCCTGAAAACCACAAGCATATGGTACATCTTGCTAAATTACAACTAGTGGTGCATGCTGCAAAGGTACATTGCATTCAGCTGGCCTCCTCTGTTGCATGATGACTTGATTCCTTACCACATGTCTTTTATTTCACTACTGAAGATCATCCACAGCATGGGTTGTGATACCACTTGGATTTTGCTTCACATGAATGTGTCATATATGTAGTAATATGACTATGTTTTCCTTTCCTGATTCCCTAGCTACAGTTAAATCAATAGTCTGGGTGCCGAGGACCAGTATCAAACAAAATGCAAACCTAAGGACTGAAATTATATACAATTGCATAATCAAGAATAAACTTATGTTTTCTATTATATTTAAGTACAACACAGAATTCTCAAATTATCACAGACAACTCTTAAACTACCAAGAATATAATGTCAACACTATTTTAATAGGAACTATACCAAGTGATATCTTTTTTAAAATTTTATTTTACTTTGAAGAGACTAAAGCCAAGTGAAATAGAACATAATAGAGTCAATCAAAACAATGAACATGATATAGGACTTCAAAACAAGATAAAGAGGAAATCAACAATGGCTACCATAATGTCTCTTGTTATCTTCAAGTAGTTGCATATAACTTCAGACATAATAAAATCAAACAAAATAGAACAGAATAAAACCAACCAAAACAAAATAATGAAGGCAATACCGGACTTCAAAACAAGATAATAGGAAATCAACAATGGCTACCATAATATATTTTGTTATCTTTGAAATAGTTGCCCATGCTATCAAATAGAATAAAATCAAACAAAACAAACCAGAATCAAACAAAACAGAACAATGAAAACAATATAGAGCTTAAAAAACACGATCATAGAATAACAGTTGTCACTGCCTTCACTTTTTAGACATTTCCTCTCCTTTCACTTTCACAGTACCTACTGTGCATTTTGGATCCCACTAACTCCTTTAATTTTTTATACTAAGAAGACAACATGATGTTCACCCATGTGACTCTGAACCATTTCACCCGTGTGCATGATCTCAAGTTGTATCCATTCACCTACAAGAGCCCCTTGGTTACTTTTCTTTATAGCTGAGTAGATTTCCATTGTATAAAAATGCCATTTCTTTCTTATCCATTCTGCAGTTGAAGGACAAGCTACTCCTACTTTTTTCTGGTTCCCGATTACATAGAACATTGTTTTCTCTTCTTTGACTTTCAGTCTGCTAATTTTCTTTCAACTTAAATGTGTTTCTTCTATAAAGCGTATTGATAGATCCTGTCTCTTGATCCACTTTGTCTCTGTTTCTTTTAATTGGTGAATTGAGACCATCAACGTTAATGGTTATGGCCAACATGCACTGGCTCAGCTCTGCCATGCTATTTTCCTGCTGTTGGCTGCCTACTTTTCACCTCCATTCAACTTTCTGTCCTGCTCAGTGATTCCCCTCTGCCGCTGTTCCTGGAACTATGGTCATTTTTATCTCTCTCTAGAATGTACTTCAGTATTATTTGTAGGGTTAGCTTGTTGGTCATGAATTCCTTCAGTTGTTCTTTGTCATGGAACTATCTTGTTTCTTCATTAATTTTGAAAGATAGCTTTGCAGGGCCTGTCTGGGTTAGACGTTGTTTTAGGACTTTAAATACTTCACTCCAGGCTTTTCTTGACTTGATAGTTTGTGTTAAGAAGTCTTGATTTTGATGGGCTTTCCTTTATAGGCAATCTGTTTCTTTTCTCTAACAGCTTTTAATATTCTGTTCTTGTGCTGAATTTCTGGGATCTTGATTATTGTAAACATGGTGTAGATTTATCTTGGTTATGGCTAGCTAGAGTTCTATGCCTCACTTGTCTGTATATCATGTCCTTTTCTCATCCTTGGGAATTTTTCTGCTATTACTTCTGTACACAGACATTTATGTCATTTGTGTTGACCCCTGCTTTTTCACTGACACCTATCATTCTTAAATTGTTTTTCTTTGTGTCATCTTGCAGCCATTGAATTGTTATTTCCTGGCTCCTTGTTATTTTTAAGAGATCTTTCCTTTCACAATCACTAGCTGCAAACCTAGCAATTACAGTTTTGTAGTTTTCAGTGGAGTTTTTAATTTCCTGGACATCTCTTTGAATCTGTTTTATGCGCTCTAAATCTTTCTTATATTGTGCATTCAATGTTTCCCCCCTTTTCCTATGCTTCTCTATTTTTTATCTATCTCTTCTTTAGAATTGCTTAGTAATTCTTTTATTGTTTTTCATTTCTTCTGTTACCCAAGATAGTATTTCTGTTCTAATTTCTTTTATAGCCTCATGAAGTGGTTGATTTACTTCAGTTGCCATTATTTCAGAAACTTCAGGTGTGACACTCACAATACCTTCCATGTTTATGTCTTCTGGACTTGCTCTACATGAGTTGGAGGCCAAAGACCGCCTTTTGTTTTTTTATCTTGACATTTTCCTGGATTCTTCTGGAAAAGCGCATTGCAAGGTCCCAGGCACTTCCTGCATTGGCTACGATTTCTCTAAAGAGTGACTGGTTACCCTGGCCAGTGTTGGCTACAGGTATCCCATGGTGGCCAGTGGGTGGGGCTGGCTGCTGCTTTTCCCAGGCTGTACTGCTTACTGGCAGAAGAAAGCATTCCACATGGTGGACGGTGTGTGTAGGGGCAGGGCTGGCCGCTGCTTTCTGGACCTGGACTGCTTACCAGTGGCAAGCATTCCTGATGGCAGTTAGAGTGTCAATATCTTTTATAGACTTACTCTTTTCAGAGTAGTACTTTGCAAATTAAACAATTATTTTCTATAGTAATTGGTATCAATCTGAGACATAAAAAGGCTGTCCCAAATAATCTAAGATTGAGTTTCTTTCCATTTATCTTACAACTCTATGCAAATAGATTGTGCTTATTCTAAAGTAGTATTTCATAGTATGTAAGTAGATGTGAAAAAGGAAGGATAAATGCAATTTCTATCAGGTTTTAAAGAAAAATATGTGTACTACTGTAGATATACCATATTTTCTTTGCTCACCAATTGACAGCCACCTAGGGTGTTTCTGTACCATAGCTGTTGTGAATTGTGCAGCAAAGCAAGGGTGAAGGTATTGGTAGTGCATGCTGACTCTGGTCTTTTCAGGTACACACTGAGGAGTAATACAGTGGGGTCAAATAGTAGCTGTATTCTTAGCTTTTGAGAATATACAATGGAGTATTATTCAGCCATCTGGAAGAATGAAATCATATTATTTGCATAAAGTGGGTAGATCATCATGTGAACAAAATAAGCCAGACTTAGAAAGACAAATATCACATGTTTTCTCCCATATGTGGAGTCTGGGGAAGGTAAAGAGATGACATAAAATAGAAGAGAGATTATTAGAGAAAAGAAAGGGAATTGGCGAAGAGGGGAAGGAGGGAGGAGAGGCAATGTGGGAAATGGGAAATGGTCAGAATATGTTACACACATGTACACATATGTCAAAATGGTATAAGCCAGAATGAAACTCATTACTATGTAAAGCTAGTATTTGACCCAATAATAAATCTTTGTGAATTATTTGGTTGAAGTGAAATGAACTTCATTTTGACTATCCTATTATTTTTTAAAGAAATAACTAAAGAATAAATTATTAGGTTTTATTTGCATTCCCAGAGTTAACTCATCTAAGAATTTATCTTTCTTTCTTTCTTTCTTTCTTTCTTTCTTTCTTTCTTTCTTTTCTCCCTCTCACTCGTCCTCTCATTCCCTTTCTCTCCCTTTCCCTCTTCTCCTTCTCCCTCTCCTTTTCCTCCTCCTCCTCCTCCTGCTCCTCCTCCTTTTTTAGATTTGCTGCTGAGTTGTACAAGGTTTCTGCAGACATGAACAGGCTCATTAACCAGGAACTAAGTGCTGGGCAAGATTCATCTTTTGTATTGGAGGACGGTGGAAATGACCATTTGGTTTACATCCCAAGCCAAATGTTAGGGCCACATACATTAGTGGTTAACTATGAAAAAGATCAGGAGTCCACAGAAACTGCAAGTCTCACTTCTGGTAAGGAAATGAAACATGATGAAAAAGTTTAAGTAGTCTAGATGCTCATCTTTTAACACCAGTAAAGAGTCAAATAATTAAAGCTGATGTCTGAGGTAACTATTTCTCTTCAAATTTAAAATTATGGATATAACTTGTGCCTTTATTGAAATTCAAGAAGTAAATAGTGACAAGGACCTAATCCTGATAGCAGGATCAGAAAATCCTAATAGTAGCTCTTAGAAATTTCTCTGCTAATCTTGCCAAACTTAAGATTTCTCAGAATCTACAATTTAAAGATTGGTGTGACATCCAAGAGGTTGCATAGAGAATATCAGAGCAAAGAAGGGATTAAAATGACTTAAAAGTTGGTCAGTGACTCAGAATTTGTGATTACACAAGAAGAAATAAATTTTTATTTAAAGGGTACCCAACAATGATAGAGCATAAACTTCCCCACTACCTGTTCTTTATATTTAAATGGCAAAGCAGGACTTAATAGCATTAAAGAAATCTGATACATATGAGTATATCTGTATTTTCATTAAAAATGTGTAATTCCTAACAGACTTCAGCTATTCAACTTATACCTTTAAAATCTTCCAAAATGTTTGTTTTGGGCCAGAATGCCAGCATCTTAAGCACTGTGTCAGAAATGTCATATATGTAGCTATACTATGAAAGTCTAAGAGAAAAAGGGCTCAATTTTGTACTATACTATTCATTCTTAGCAGCTTCCCTGGTACATTTTCTTTTTCTTGGATTCAACAGTTACGTCTCCATATTTCTGAAACATAAACATTTGAAGTTTATCTTTAAAACAGTCAAATTTGGTTTGTAAAAACTACAGGGAGGAATTAACAGTCAATCATAAATTGAAAAATAAGATATGCCAGGGGGAAGAAAAAGAAAACAGAAGTGACCTTGTTGAGTTCGATGTGTGCAGTACCATGATGTAAAGGCATCAGAGTATGTATATTCCTTTAGTTAATTAATTCCTAAGTTGTCTCATAGGCATAACCTAAACAAAAGAATTAAGTGACTTAAATGTTTATTCATTCTAATGGGTGTTGTTTATTTTGGTTGTTCATTTTTTAAAATTTTGTTTTAAAGAGAATAAAACAAAACAAAACAGAACAGACCAATGCAAACAGCAACAGGGCTTCAAAACAAGACAATAGTAAATCAACGATGACTATCATAATCTCTCTCATTTACTTCAAAATAGCTGTCCACATTTGCTCTGTTTTGTTTGTTTGGTTGTTCATTGTAATGACACAGGAATCATAATGGCCTTTAGGAATTTATGGTGATTTGCTTTATAAAGGATAAAAGATGTTTTGATAGTGTTAGATAGCAATTGTGATTTGTGATAGCTTTATTAGAACAAAACATTTAAAAGTCTAGTAATTCAATGTACAAACTCTTTCAGGAAAAACTGATAGACATAATTAGATTATGAGAAAGGGAGGGGAGAGGGGTGAGGGAGAAAAGGAGGGAAGGAGAGCTATGGGGACAGGGGGAGAGAAAGAGAGAAGCATGGGAGAGACAGAGAGAGACAAGCTCATCTCTGTAGTCATCATTAATGGACACTGTTCATGAATAAACAGAGGCTCTTTATTTGATTTTCCAGATTTTTGAGAATCAACACACTTATAGACAATATTAAGGTCCAAAATGGATGGAGAAATGATTGTTAAGAGTTCTAGTGGGGAAAAAGTCCAAGTACCTCTAGAGGGAGTTTTAGGGAGGATTATGTCAGGCTGTGACAGCCTGGAAACAGTGTCTCAGACCTGAAGATATTGCCTTAAAGTAAACCTCCAAGTTAAATCGTAAGTTTTTCTAGTCTCTCTCTCTCTCTCACGCTCTCTCTCTCTCTCTCTCTCTCTCTCTCTCTCTCTCTCTGACGCACATTTTCAAATCTTCTTTACTCACTAAAACTGCTGAGAATTTTCTGTGTGATGTGTTATCCTTTTGGGGAGTAAAGTTGTGGTTCAGGTTGCTAACTTGTTAGCCTGAGTTGGGCTAACAAGTTTCAGATGTATCATTCAAATAAAAGATTGATAATTTCCATAAACACTGCCCTATGTTGTGTTTATTATTCATTTATCAAGTAATTCTTACAACTGATGGCCGATCTTTCTGTCCTGGAATTGACAGAGTGTCTTGGGGAAGGTCAGGAATCTTAACCATTCAAGAGATTTATAGTTCCCGCACCCTGCGGACTGCAGAAAGCTGTGTAGCAACCTCCTTCGCATGATAAGCCCAACTCTTTCCCTCCCCACATCTTTCCCTCTGCTTCTTCCTATCTGCTCTAATTTTCATTGAGCTAATCTTTAATTCCACTCCTTTATCTGGTTCAAGAGCATCCTGACTCAAAATCATCTGAAATTCCACCAAAAGCAGATTCCTAATCCTTCCTCTTCCTCAGAACTATTGCTTCATATCTAGGAATTTAAAATGGGAGGAGAAAGCTGCAAATTTAATAACCACCACAGGTGATTTTTTTTTTATGCCTTCAACTTTGAGATCAACTGTACCCAAAGTATAGTCCTTATATGGGCAGCTTCAGCTGGGAACTTTTTAGAAATGCAAATTCTCAGCACTCATCCCAGACCTGCTGAATCAGACTGATGGGGCTCAGCAGTCTGGGACTTAACAGGTGCTTAGGCTAGAGCCTAAAGTTTGAGAACCACAACCCATCCTGTCAGTATGGTGTGTTAACTTTCATTTGTGTCCTGGTGGAGATGAAAGCAATCAGGCATCTACTATCACAGAAAAGAAGTGAGAATCATGTTTCCAAAGGGTTCCAGGTAAGCTGGGTTATAATTTTACTTTACTCATTCATGCAGCCAGCCAGCCAACATCTATCTGTGTAACAAAACACCTTAAGACTCAAATAGGTAGAGATTATCTAAAGATAATCTAGCAAACATTCTGACATGCTATCTGCAATATTAAATTCCTTGCAAAATGCAGTCTTTTCTAAGTACTTACCAAGGGATTGTTCTTTCAAACTATGGAAAGAAGAATGGTTAGTTTAAGTCTAATTAAATTGTAACTCTCAACCCAGTGGTGAGTCTAGCACTTCCACCAAAGTTGCTGCATTAACCAGTATTTAAGGCATAGCCAGTCTGCTTTCAGGATTAAAGAACCAAAGAAATTGTAAATAAATGTTAAATAACAATCCAAACTTAGTCTAATTCTTGTTCTTTGCTTTAAGCAGCCCTGGTGTTAGGCTAACTTCAACTGGGGCTCTTTCCAGCGAATTCAGTAAAAAATGAGAAGTACCACTTCTGTCTTCAGACTAAACTAGTGTTGTACAAGTACAAGAGAATTTGTATGAGTTTCCTTTTCTTTTGTTTTTCTAACTTTAATGTCATTCTGATCTGCAAATTATCTTGTTAAAAAGCCAGTGCATCCTTTGATTTTGAATGAATCACTGACTAATAGAGCTAGAAGATATTTAGTGATCACCTGGTACAAATTCACTTGGCAGTAATTCTACTCCACACCCCCATGGAGGGTATTGCAATGTCTAGAGACATTTTTGTTGTCACAAATGGAGGATCCTGGTGGCAGCTACTGAGTAGAGGCCACAAATGCAACTAAACATCCCACAGTACACAGGACACTCCCCATAACAAATAATTATCAGGTAAAACTGTCAACTGAGCAATCCTGTTTTAGGAGAAGCCTCATGCTTCAAGGTCATAGTATGCACAGAATTGTTAGAGAGGCCCATAACTTCTACATGGTCTCCATTGTTTCCCCATTCTACCTCTAGAATTCTGCTAACTTAAAAAAATCCAAGTACCTCCACAAAATGTAAAACGTATATACAAAGTCTCAATATAGCAAATTGAATTATTATTAGTGTGGAATCCATTCTTTGATTTTTCCATAGATGGGTTGTTTTTATAGTTTTATTCAACATCATATCCTGCTTTTTACAAAATATTATGTCATAACCCTTTGAACATTTTTATAATCTTAATGCTGATTTTTCTAATTGTCCTCATAGTTCTTTTAATGAGTGAATATTTTTAACTGTTTACCTCTTTTGAAAGCATAACTTGCTTCTAATTTTTGCTGCCATATATTAAATTTTAAGACATAGCTTCTGCTAATTTAAATCTGTGCTGGAATTAAATCAGCAGAATTGGCTTCCAAGCCTTTAGGGAGTATTCCCTGCTGATGACTACTTGTCATCAGTGTACTTCTTGTGAATTCCACTTGTGAACCAGTGTACTTTCTAAAGATGAGATCAGTGGCAGAACTGTGATCATGTGTAACTATAATAATATGTTTCACAGAATCTTTAGAGAGTTTAGCCATTTTGATACTCTTCAGTATAGAACTTAATCTCTTCTTACTTTAAAGTGCATCATAACGTTGCATTTATGTTTACTTGAGAATTTACTAGGACCACTCTCATTTTCATTTTGGTTGTCATTGTGTCATCGAAATGACAATGACATATTGTGCCATTGAAAGTTGTGGACAAGACTACTGTGAACTGAGTTCAGCCCATGGACTATCTGAATTCAAACATACAGGGGTGTTGCTTCTTATGTCTTGTGTAATTATTTGTTGCAACTAATAAAGCAGTGTCGTAGAGAATAGGTGATATTTAATTTCATGTGGTTCTCTTTCTAATGGAATAAAACTGATACTTGAAGGAGAGAGCAGGTGAGAGAGGTAGGAGTGAGGATGGAGGTGATGGTCATGATGGAGGTGGCAGTGATGCCGACACTGACCCTAGTAGTAATAACGGCAGTGGTCATGGAAGTGTTGGCCGTTGTTGATGGTGAGTGGTATGATAAAGATGGTGGTGGTGATGTTGGTGGTAGAGATGATAGCGATGGAGGTAGAAGTATGAGGGTGGGTGGCGGTGGTGGTGTGAAGGGGGAACAGTAATGGCCACAGTGGCAGAGGGGGCAGCAGTGATAAAGGTCTGAGAATGGGTGGTGGTGATGGTGGTCATGCTGAGGACAATGGTGGCAGTGATGTTGGTGGTT